GTAAAATATTATTCAATAATCAAAAATTTGTTTTGTATAAATATATTTTGTCTAAAGATAAAATAAAAGTGCAAAAATAGGTAACCACTCTACTGTACAGTAGGTGTTGAGTATCCATACCTACATCCTCATTGATAGGTCATTGTGATCAGTGTAGGTATTAAATTTGAATTCAATGACAACACATTGTGAGTATACATCAGTCTGTAATACCTACTATATGACGTATATTTCACTACATGAAAGATATTTAGGTTTCAGTAAGAAGTACTTATAAGAGCCTCCCTTGTATTAAATTTGTTCAAGGTGTACACTTTTAACCACAAAATAATTTTATAATTTTTATAATTTTGAAAAAGTTTGTGAATACTTAAATTCAAATGCTTATACATTTTTTTATATATTATGTATTTTTAATATTTTAAAATTATTAAAAGAAAGTCTTATGTGGGAGCTTGTAATACATTTTAAATCTTTTTTACCGTGCCTAAATTCTAATCAACATTGAAAAAAAAAATTAATGTCGTTTAACTAAATAGCTTAAATTTATTCCGAACATTTTGAAATTTTCTTTGAATTACTATAAAATAATTGAAATTATTATTTTTTGTTCAAATTTCTATAGAAAAAGATTGTACTTATTGGTTGGACTAACCTAACATTAATGTAAATAAGTAGAAAGAAGGTTAACCTCTCTTAGTCTCTTCAGCTATAGGTACAGCCGGTACAGGAGGTGTTGAATGAACCTCGTAATTGAGTAGGTAAGTTACTATAGTGTAATTGTTAAATTTGATTAATTTGAATTTAATAATAAATCATTGTATATAAACTGAGATCCATCCGTTAAAAAATCGAAATCGAGAAATATGATAAAGTAATTTGGAGTTAAATAATTATTATTTATTAGACTTACTAATTCGTAAACTTAATAATTATTTTATAACAACTAATAAGTCAAGTAAGATTTACCCAAAAAGTCGTAAATAAAGTTAAACTAGGATTTTCGACTTAATTCTCTAAATTATAGCTTTTTTAAGCGTATCAGTCATTACGACTTACGAGTATCACGGATCTGCAGTTTTGTAGCACTATATTGTAATGACTAAAGGTGCCTTTACCATCTATCATGTCATCCATAATTTAATACTGCGTGTGGAAATCTCAGTGTTTTAATAAGCTGAATGCTATTTATGTGGTTATCTTATTAATATTTATATTCAACTTTTCAGCGTCTGGTTGGAGTGGATTACTTGTTAATTACTACAGTCTAATAACAACTTTAAAATTAGAAAGGCTACAGTGACTAACCAACAACTTTTTACCTGGTTCTAAATATACCACGATAACAAGATCAAAATAACAAATTTTGTGCGACACGATGGATAGTAAAGGAATTTCGAAAATTGGTTTATTTAGAATTTCAATATACATTTATCACAATAATAATATGTAAAAAAAGTGGTTAACACTCGGCGGGTGTAAAATAGGTGTCGAATGAGGCACTGCAATAGATGGTGTTAAATTATATGAAATATTTTTTCCTATTAGATGTAATTACATCACAGGCTTCAACATCACAGGTCATTAGCCTAGTGTAAATTAAAATTAGTAAAAGGAGCGAAAAAAAATTACAAATTGTGTGAAGACTTAAAAATTACGGAAAAATATTTGTACATTGTTAGACTTTGTTTATGAGATTAGTTTTGGTTAAAAAAGTAATGATTTTAGTGATATTTTTTTCGTTGATTGCTTCTTCCATATACTCGGAGCCCGGAGATATTGCTGGGTTGTTTCTTATGTCCCGGTACTTCGTGCAATCTAGGATGATGTGTTAATTTGAAGGGTCGGAGGGGCATTCGTATGATATATTATCAATTATAATTGTAAATGAATAATGATTCCGAGCAAAGGCGGACTGTCAGCCTATATCAAGCGTACCTATACGTTTTTTAATATTGCTATCAAAGTAATTTATTTTAATAATAGTATCAATAGTACGGTAGTTTCATTTCATTTTGCTGAAAACATTGTATTTATTATTTTATTACAATGTAATTATTATTGGTAATAGTGCAGGTAACAAAAAATGAGACAAATCTGTTCAACCGTTCTTAAGTGATATGATTACCAACGAACAGCATTTTATTTTTATTTTATTTATATAGATTATAGACCATCGATTCTCAACCGGTGGTATACCCGGAAAGCTCATACCTAGATTAGATGGTATTCTAAAAGAATTTCCCTTTATAAAAAAAAAAAAATGGAAGTACCATGGATCATTATTCACATTAAATATTATTTAGTATATTTGATATTAATAATAATATAAGTAATAATTATTGTACATATATCATTTTTATTTTGTGCGTATAAAATGTTTATATTGTCATAATTTTGTAGTTCCTAAACTTCAAAACTTGTAAAATAACGTATACCTACATTTTGTATAAGAAGGTTAACTGGTCAAGTGGTACATGAACATTTTCAAACTTTGTAGGTAGTACGCCGGTATAAAAAGGTTGAGAACCACTGATATAGATTATATTATTATTGTTATTAAATAAGTGTTGACTCAAATTTAATTCAATAACAGTGATTTATTCTCATGGTATAAATAGGTAATAGCTTAAGAGGATGTCAGCGCACTATTTGTTTTCTCTCTCGGCCCACGTGCATAGGCGTGCGCACGGGACAAGCCGGTCAAGCCCAGGCTCGACCTGAAACTTTTTAGGGGCATAGTAAAATGTGCGTATATATTTAAATATTTTATTATAATGCTTATATTATAATAATATGTTCGTGGAGATCATGAAAATTTTGTTTGCCGTGAAAGTATAAAAAAATCAAAAATGACCTAAACACTACATACATTTTATTTATCTAAAAAAAAACATTATACCTTTATACGAATACACTAACTATAGTACTATAGACATTAATAGGTTAATACATCAACATGTATGTTGGTGTGTTAAAAAAAAATTAGGGTCGCTATCCAAATATTAGGGCACTATAATTTGTCTAGGCTCGACCAGAAATTTAAGTCTGCGTATGCCTATGCCCACGCGCCACATAGACAAAACGCATTAACGCAGAATCATTTTTCTATGTTTTTAAGTAATCTTAGAGTAAAATCACCCATTAGAAAAAAGATAGAGAATAATATTTTTGAGGGAATGACATATTGGTTTTATATTTTATTGTTATTTGACTTTGGGTTCGACTTTCAAAATAAACAAAAAAATGTTGTAAATTTAAATTGTTTTGAGACAACATTTAAACAAATCGATATGTCTTTCCCTCAAAAATATTATTCTCTATCTTTTTTCTAATGAGTGATTTTACTCTAAGATTACTTAATAACATAGACAAATTGCAAGGGATGAAAATCCCTTGATATTTCCCAGTTTTTCATGTAATTGAGGTGTGGTGGCTACTATTTCACTATGTGGATTGATACAAGAATACGTTGAAATATAATATTATAAAACGAAAAAATACACATATATATTATAATAATACCTTTAATATTATATGTAAAACTCTAAACAAAAAATAAGTGGACTTTAAACATTGCCAATAAAGTCACAAAGTTTCGTAAGTATATAATATATATAAAATGTATATAGTTAATATTATTGTTGTTCTATGTGCTACATAACAATGTTTATCAATATAAGTTATAAATAAAATATAAAAGACAACTTAAATAGGTATTTAAATAGGTCATTACTGTGCACTAATAAAATATCACTAGATAGGTTGTATAATATGGACGGTACAGATTCACTTAAATTATAATAAATGCATATTGCATGGTTTCTAGTATATTATGTATACATGGAAAAATAATTTAAAAATATATGATATAAGCAATTAATATAAAAGATATTAAATATCTATAAGAATAAAATAGCGAGAACTAACTTACTTTTCGTAAACGCAAGTACAAAAATAAAACAATATACATTATGAAAATATATCAATATTGTAAGGTGTTTGAGTGGACGGATTATATTATTATGTTTATTATGATTATATATATATTTATATAGCGAATTCACGTTTAAATATTTTTTTCGCGGTTTTTACGTATTATCTGAAGTCTTTGGAAAAAATTCCCATTATGAAAATTACTCCATTTTTATGCATTAATTATAAATCAAAATGTATAAATATAATTCTTTAACTATATTATAATAAGTTCTGTATAATTATATGAATGAGTATTTTTCTTAGGTAGGTATTACATAAGTCGAATGTAGATTTGTATTATATAATAAACTTATTCCGATTTTGTTCAAACGTAATTTATAGCAATATTTTTGCTCGAAATTCATTATCTAAAAACAATTTGTAGGTATGGACACGTATTAATATTACTAGCATTGTTTTGTGTGGTTGCATGTGTTTATAGCTTACACTTGAAACATTTAAAATAAGCATTTTTACAACTTTGAAAACTATTCTTACACTTACATTTTGTAGTATTTATATTAAACACCTCACTTATTGCTACAGAATAGTAAATTAGTAAGAAGTCACAATTATTCTATATTAAAATAATGGCTGCCATTTATATTTTGAACACAGACGAGAGTTTTTGATTCATTCATATTATAAAAATCTATTTAATAAATTATTATACATTTATATTATTATTAATAATATTCCAAGGCACTACTGCTGTATATTATAATGCGGCTTACTACATTAACCCAAAACATACATATTTTGATATTTTACTTGCATGAACAATGTATTGAGTTTACCGTAATTGGTTTATATTCTTATAAATATATATAATAATCCATCATGATATATTGACCATAATCACAAAAAAATTGATCAAACATTCGAGACAAATTATGGTTATTAACTTAAAACTATACGTTTAAAATGTAGAAAATGTAAAATTGTAAAAAATGTGGTTTAAAAAATATAATAATTGAGATTATTACAAGTGCGCGTGCGCGTTAATATTAGATCTATAATTTCTAAATGAAACCGTACAACCTCAATAGCAGCACGAACGACAGACAGACTGCCGAGTTTCTGCTGGCAGTGTTGGTTAAGAACAGTTCTGGACTACCTGAAAAAAAAATACACACAAATATTTTAAACAGAAGTTTGACATTATGAGACATTCTTGTCAGAAACGGTGCCCATTGATGCAAGACAAAAAAATTAAATCATACAAAGACATAAAAGGCAACAATCAAAACCTGTGTACATCCTTCCATTCGAACGAAAGACAAACCAGCAACTTAAAATTAAATATTTAAGTACACAACCACAAATATATCGTAATAATTAAATAGTATTTATTTATAAACGCATGTAAATAAAATGTAGGTATACCTACACATTTATCTTGGTATTGACAGGTATAGACCATTGTTTTATGTGATACATATAATGTGACGGACATGTGATCAGTTAATATTATAAAAGGATTGTCGTTTTACCTGAATAATAGTTCTGAAGTGTTGGACAATCGAAATTATTGAGTTATTAAAAAATTCTGTGCAAGTATAAATAATACACCAGTAACATTACGTCATAAAACTTTATTTATTCTTGACAGCATGGCAAAAGCGTAGATTAGGGCTAATACGAGTAAATCTTAAAAAAACTAATTTCTAATGAAATTACGTGACATGTAAATATTTCAGAAATTTAAACAATTATGTGTTTTTCTATAAAAGTATCCACGTTTTTACTGGATATTTTGTAATAATATTAAATTTTTTTAAAAATGTTTATCATAATTTATTGTTACACGCATTCAGTAGTTTTGACTGAATGCATATTATTATGTACACGGATTTAGGTACCTACTATTTAAAAATTATTTTTATAAATATTTTAGCTGTGAATTATTGCTGTTTCAAATTTATAAATCATAATATTAACTTTTTATAAAGAAAAAACTGTTGCTTATACCTAACTCTAAGGTACTTGAGCAAATGAGCACATTCACCTGTATTTTAAATTACTTCCCAGATTTTTAATAAATATTTTTTTACAGTATACTGTATATTATGCTGATGTCGTATAATTTTTAATAGGTAATATCTTTTATTAATTTAATATGAAATATATGAATATTATTTTGTAATAAAAATAATGTTGATTATAAAAATAAATAAAAATAATTTATTTGTACATATGCAATAATAGCACATAACATTATCTAACAGGAAAGTATTGCGGTCATACATTATAATATTGACTATGAAGTATAAAAATTATAATAAAAGTTCAGTCATTTACACGGGTACCTACAACATACACGCGTGTTTTTAATAACATAATATTAGAATGCCATAATGTGTATTATTAATTAAGAAATGCACAACAATCTCCAATTATTACTAAATAATATTACTTGCTCATTTATACTTTTTATTATTATTGACGATAGCCGATGGCGGATAAACAGCGGGAGGACGTGATACTCATGTGTTTTCTCAGTCTTACAATTGCATAACATAGCAAATTTTACGCTCAGAAAAACACGTGCTTCGTTGATTTAAAAATTGGAGTAAATTAACCTCTTATAAGATCTAAAGATAAGATTATTATCTAGGCAACCTCTTAGGATTTTTATTTTATTTTCATTTCTAAGCGAGTTATGAGTACTTTAATATGTACAAACAATTTACAATTTTAAAATACCCATAGCTCGCTTTAAAATTAAAATATAATAAAAAGCCATAAGGTTACCTAGATAATAATCTTACCTTTAGGTTTTATAAGAGGTCAATTCACTCTAATTTTTAAACTAACGGAGCTACATGTATTCTACTGAGCGTAGAATTTGCTATGTTACACACTTATAAGACGAAGACCACGAATGCGGGTATCAACGTCCTAAGAACAAGAACCAACTATTATACCTACTGAGTTTGGGTTTTCTGTTCACTTCGTTTCACCCCATTTCGTCGACAAAATATCAGTTATAACAAATCCCATTTTGTCGAAAAATCCCAAGTTTTTTCACAACAGAGCTTGGATGGGTAGGCACTATACACCCTCCTAATGTGGGAGTTAACTCTTACAAAATCCTTACATGCAAACTCGGCTACTCGGGATTTAAATTAAAAGCGTGTTAAATTTGAATTCAATGATATTATCGACATTTGAACTTTAAATGATTATAAAAAAAAATCTTGTGTACCTAGGTGCCTATGTAGTTTTACTACCTATTTTTTTTAACATCAAAAACCAAAATTCCAAGTTTTTTCCAGGGTTTCGAAGAATATCGATGTATTATTAAAGTGAGAAGTTATTTATTTCAGGTGACATCCAATTGACATAGGTAGGTACTATAGGTTTTATAATATGATGGTAGTAACTATTATATTGTATAACCATATATCAAGCGGGTTTCAAACAAAATATATGATATACCTTTTCATTGAAAAAAAACCCAAGCAATGGTGGGCAAGATAATGAAAATAATTAACTCAAGTTAAGTTAAGAGAACACAATATCAATAAATTAAAAGTTAACAGTTCACAAATCATACATTTTACTCGATAAGTTAAAAGTTAATATTAATCTACTTTTTTAAATTAGTATATAGATCACATTAAGAGTGAATGTGTTCAAATCATTTCCTAAATTATAATAAAAAATGTTATTGAACTTTCAAAGTAATTTACAGTGTGTGTACCTATTTTACTTTACATGATTATTAAATATTTAAACTATACCAACATACCCCAATTAATAATTTAACAAATATTAATTATTTTATTTCAAATAGCAATTTAAGGTCATATAATATCATATGGCATTCAAATTAATAATTTTTAAACAATTAAATTTTCGACATAAGGGAATGCTGTGAATCAGTAAGCATTATTTATTGAGGTATTTGTTGGTATGTTGTGTTTCGTTAGAAAAGTATTTTTTTAATTTAATGATTTCCTCTCCAAATTCTACTTCCAAGTTGACAGTTCGATTAAGCTAATGTCGATGCCGCATTATGATTATTAGTGATTCGACAATGACGGTTAAAAGCGTGATTAAAAGGATCCCAAACTTGCATGTCTTGTCTAAGACTAACGTACAAGTGTACAACCTTAAAAACTTAAAAACTATAAACACGGAGTTATCTACGTTGTAGTAACTGTGAGTACAACATCTAAAATGTACGTTCAACAGAACCAATTTTGTATTGTTATATTTAATATTAGAGTGGGTTTACATAAACGATCAAACTTAAAGAGATACAACATCCTATAACAACCTTCTGTGTTGGTATGTTTTTTATGATACATCAAGTTTTAAGCGAGTAATGACTTATGACTTATGAGTTATGTGTACGTAAAATATAAAATATTGATGTTTACGTATGTAAGATGGAGACAACACATTTGGAGAGGATTTAAGAGGATGCCAGCGCACTATTTGTTTTCTCTCTCTGACCCATAAGCAACATAGAAAATTAATTAATTTTATATGGTTAAAATATATAACCATATTAATTTCTCAAATTAGAGTGAAATTATCTCTTATACAATTTAAAATTAAGAACATTATCTAGAGCATATTGAAGGTGTTTTATTATATTTTAATTTTAAAGCGAATCATGAGTATTTTAAAATTGTAAATTGTTAGTACATCTTACCTTAAAAATTTTATTAGAGGTCTTTTCACTCTAATTTGAGAAATTTATATGGTTTATTCATTATTGTGAAAGTAAAATGTGCCATGTTGGCATGTTGAGCTTGGGTCAGAGAGAGATAACAAATACTATGCTGCCATCCTCTTAATAATTATCGTTACGAATAGCTACAAATTAGACAATCTTTTGCTGTAGAATTTAACGTGTAAAGCAGCCCTATTCCTACTACGTAAAATCATCAAAAACCAAAATACTTGAGAAAAAGTCAGCAGCGCTGTTGTGTTGAAAAGTGCAAAACGAGAAGCAAAAATAATATTCCAATCAATGAAAAACAAATAATATGGAAACATTTAAAAAGTAAAATAACGATTTAAGATATATCTAGTATAGGCTTGTGATTCACGCTGTGCACAAATATTGAAAAATGCATTCATAATTTTTTAATCACTCCGATTAGGTACACTGTAAAATAAGCGAAAGACAAAATTACGATAACGGACGGATTAATAAAATAGTATTTTCATAGATATGTTTTCATATAATATAACAAAACTCAAACGTAATCATAATGGGCTGCAAATTTCAGATAAAATGGAATTAGGTATATCAAATTAAATTGCTTGCCCATATAATATAACAACGAATAAAATGCATGCAAAAATATAACTTGAACAATATTTTAGGTTTGGAGGAGAACACAATTATCCATACATGCGAAATTATTTTATTTCATTATCATAATATTATGTTACTTACATATTGTGATAAATAGAAGAGTAAGCTTGTATTGTTCAGCATACATACATAAATATTTTTATTTATATAATATGCTACACACATAAGTAACTTACTTTTGCTATTAAGTAAAACTTCCTGTAATTATATATTATTAAAATTAAACCAATTTGGCAAACATATGGTTTGGCATTCCAAGTGCCTATTTATGTACTATAGTTACACATATTGTAAGGTAACACACAAGACATGAGATTACTAATTGGTGCTATGAAAATTTGATAGATTTTCAACAAAATCAAATTAATTTATTTCTATTTTCTATAACAACAAAACAAAATTAAATTAATTTTTGTTCTATTTTCTACAACAGGTGTACTAAGTTTTTACTAAAAAGAAATACGATAATAACTAAATTAGTCCTAAACATTTAAAAATACCAGTTATGCTAGTATTATATAATATACCTAACGAACATAAAGTATAAAAATGTGAACTATTAGAAATTGTAAATTAAATATTCCGAGTGGAAACAGAGGTTTTTGATATAGTCAACATAATTCAGGGAATGCTACTGATTAATTGACAGTGGAAATAATTAAATTGATCATACAAATTGTGTACTAAAATCGTATATAAATAAAAATATAGATGTAGGGATAAATATATAATAGTAATTAAATCTTACCCATTTGGAAAGTTTTAGCAGGTGATGACATCCGTCCATCTCCACCATTAGAGTATGCCAACACTCGAAGCTTGTACACTTTGCCAGGTGTTAACTTAGTAATGTGGGCTTCTAATTTGCTCCCAATTTCAATAATTGTATCATTTGCAGTACTCATATCTTGATCCGATTCCCAAACCCGCACCTAACAATTCACATTATGTAAAACAAAGATTATGTAAACTGTATTGGTTTTATTGAAATACAAACCTTATAGCCTTTGATTGGTTCTTCTTCAAGTGTTGGTTGTACATATCGCCAAGTTACTTGTATACTATCTGGGTTTAAGCCATCAATTAGAACAGATGATGGTGGCTTTTGAGGTGCTTTTCTGTATGTTCGTTCTGTAAAAATAATATATGTAGTTATTATCACTGTTTGAATAATGACTCAATTATTTAAGGTAAAAAATGAATTTAATATTATTTTATTTTATTTTTATTAAACAGTACTATTTAATAAGCTATGTTAAATTAAATTTTTAACAATGTATCTTTTGAGGGAAAATGTCAGAAGTTATTATATTAACAAAGAAAAGACCATCAATACAGAAAAAAAAATATAAATTGGTTGGTATTTGTTTAATATGTGACCTTAACAATCAAAAATCGAGTTTAATTTGTGACTTACCAAAACGAAATCTATTTGTGGTGCCACGTGGCAATATTTAATTAACTCCGTTCCACGATAGATTTTGAATGGGCGGCGACCAAAACGTGTTCATTTCCACGCATCCCCACCATATTCCTGTCAAGGTGGCCTACCATCGGTATTTGTCGATCGCCGTCGTACCATAACGTAAACCATAACGTTGTCAAATAACGTAAAATATACGGAGCGGTAAGTGGTGTAATCTTGTTTTTTTTATTATTATTACATATTTTATGGTAGTTTTAATAATAAAAAAGTAATAATCAAAATAAATTATACTTATTTCATAAAAATAACTCCTATACTGATATATTATATTATAATGGTTAGTCGAGGTATTATTAATTGTAGTGCATTACTTGAGCCGCTGAATACAGAGAGCGGACGTTGGAGCTAATTTGTTTTAATGCACATGGCAGTCGCACTTCCTCGTGGAACGGAGTATAGTTATATACTTATATATATTAAGTACAGACTATGCTTATTTTTATAATCTTATTATATAATTACTGTGTTTAATTTAAAGATATCCATCATCTTACCTTATTCTGTTTGCCAATAATATCACAGACTGTATTAAAATACTAAACAGTATAATTTAAAATACATGAAAGTCAAATTTTTATAATAAATTGTAAAATATAATTCAAAAATATAAATAATTATAAAAATATTTTAATTTGAGACAATTCTCTGAAATATAACTAGAGTTCCAATAGCCAATATTGCCGTGGATTTAAAAAAAAGTATGTATTTTTCATTCTGTGATAATAATATTACTATGCTGATTATTGACAATAATTATCAGTATGTGTTTGGACACATAGTTCATTGTGTGTGAAAGAAAATAAACTATATGTTGGTAGTTGAATTAAATAGGATTAATATTCAAATCAATAAATAAATAAAATTATGGTCCACGTGTTAAAACTTCTTCGTACCTAGTAGTAGATCACTATTTCAAATACGAGTAGATCACTCAGTCTGGTAGGTCACATATTAAACGATTACCAGTTGATTAATATTTTATTACTATTCATTTAATATATAGTTGATGATCAATCAAATAATATTCAATAATTAGTTTATAAAAATAGAAGTTTGTCTAATAACATTTGTTAGATTTAAGATCTTACCAATAAATCGTTCACTCTCCGGACCTTCTCCAGCTGAATTGAAAGCCATTACTTTTACATAATATTCTGTATCTGGTTGCAATCCAACAATAAGTGCCCAAGGTTTAACCGATCTACTTAAATAGTATACAGCATCTTCTTCTCTGTCATTTGCATCTTTTTTCCAATACTTTAACTAAACCAAAAATTAATTAATATTTATGATATTAAAAAAAGGTAACAGGTTCAATGCAGACTTCAAATACACCCTGGTGGCAAAGGTGTCCAAGTAATTTTATATGAATTTTTAAGCTTCTACAATAGTAGAATACTCAGCTGATAGTATATGACTTTAAGATTTGGTGTGCTTTTCAGTAAAGATTTAGAAATAAACTGGTGATATTGGTTTTAATTGTAAGCCATTTTTATGATTACAGCAAGATCACATGTTCTTATCAATATAGAGTAAGATACTAAAATACCGTTGGAATTGAACATGTTGATAATATATTGTGTACAGATACACTTGGAGAATCATTTTATATATTAAATATATTATGAAGTATACTTACTCTGTGGCCGATTAATTTACCACGTAACATTTCCCGTGATTGATCAATTGGTACCCAACTAACATTAATGGCAGTTGAGTTGTAAGAAATGGCAAACACTTGTTGTGGAGATACTTGTGGCATATCTTCTGCACTGTATATCACTTTAGGATCTGATATAGGACCAGGACCGATTGAATTAAAGGGCTATAGATACACAAAATGAGTTATGTAAACAGAGGATATTTTGATAAATAAAACTATAAAATTTTACTTGAACTTTGACTTCATATTCAGTGTAATAAAATTCTGACTTAATGTGCACTACTGCCACTCCAATATTACCACTATCTTGCAATGTCTCATACTGAAAATCTGTTTCATGACCCATACGCCTCCAATATACTTTGTAATAGATACCTGGTCCATTTTGATCTTGAGAAGGTAGAGGCTATATGGTAAAGATATATATTTAGACCAATTTATAGAAAATGAAGTGACAATAACTTACTTTCCACACAATTGTTAAATCTCCAATTTTGCCACCACCACCAGTAATATTTGTAGGTGCTTTATATGGAATATCAGCGGGTGTGTTAACTTGAGGAGAAGGAAGAGATATTTCACCATATCCAATATCATTTCCTGCTACCATTCTAAATTCATACTTGGACCAGGGTTGTAGAACATTATCTAAAAATGCTTCTTTACGCCCATTATACCTATCAATATCCTTGATTACAATATCTGTAACATTAAATAACAGTTTTAAGTAAGACAAAATAAAAATTTATTTATTAAAAATTACCTGAGGCCATTGTATACCAAGTACTGTTCCATTGTGAACGGGCGTATACATTATAATGTATAGTTTGACGACCATTTGCAGCACCGTCAGTCCATTGCAGTTTGACAGATGTCTTTAAGACTTCAACTTGTATTCCACCTATAGAAAAAATAATATAATGAACTACTGTAAGTACATTGAACATACTATTGTATTGCAATGTTTAGGTAAAGTAATAATATTACCTGGAGGTCCAGGAGGTCCATCAACAAATAAAGTAGTTGTTGACGATATTTCTCCAACTACACTGTGCACAAAACATTTGTATTCGCCAGAATCTTCCAACGTCATGTTACGAATGTACAACTCTCCACCATTTATGCTCTTTAACATTAAATTGTTAATTATTACACATAAATATGAATTAAATGCAAAGGTATATAGTAATAATAAGGTATGCTTGATAATTGTTGGTACTTATTGGTTATCACAACTACCTAATTATGCAATGGACTACTGCCTATGTCACACTTCTGTTCGAGACCACTACATTATGTAAAAGCTATTTTATTGACAATTTATTAAAACACCACATTAGGTACATAGAAATTATTATTATTATTTAACTTGAAGTTAAAAATATTACCAGTGTCCATACGTTGGCTATTTTATGATGTTTTAATTTATATGTAAGTTGTGAGCATGAAAATTATTGAAATTTAAAAATTCCTATAAATTGTATAAAACATAATTGTAATTGACTTTGATTTTTTTCATTGACACATTATAATTATTATTATATTGTTTATTTATTTTTTGGAAAATTTGATGTAATTATAGTAATTAAGTTATAAGTTAGTTAGTTTTGTTTAAATACCTCCGCTGAGAGGCCTCTTCATTCTGTATTTTTTTTTTCTATTTCATCATTAATTTTTTTATCACTTATAAGCTTATTGTTCTAATTGTAACAGATGGCATAATATAGAATTTTGAAAAAAAAAAAAATTATTTTGTAATTTCTATTTACTGTACTTATATTTTGTGCATGGACTTATGTCCGTAGCCAAATAAATAAATATTCAGGTGCCAGTCACCTATCATTCATTAAAAATTATAAATTAATTGAAATGTATGATATAAAATAATTTAATTGTTACCTATAATATATTTACAGATACAAATTTATAATATAAAATAGGTCAAGATGAATAATTTACAATTTGAGGTGATTTAAAAGACTAATACTCACAACATGTCCAACGAGTTCAGAATTAGAATTAAGCAATGGCATACTGTTGTGGGTCCAAACATATGCAATGTCTAAGAGTTCATCAGAAACAGCTTGGCATCGTAATAGTAAATCATGTTTAATAATCGATCTAATTTGGGGATTTAATTGTTCAATAAATACAGGGCCACCTACAGTAGAATTATAATAATTACAAAAATATAAAATAAAAAATATTATAATATAATATAATTTCTTAATAAAACATTAACTTACGCATAACAATAAGTTTTCCATGACTTTCTTCGGTTCCAAAAATATTTTCAGCAATACATATGTACATACCTTCATCGTCTCTTCCAATTGGATTAATTATCAAATTTCCATTTTCTAATATGCGACGCCTACCCCCAGACCCTAGACAATAAATAATAACATTTTATCAACGAAAAATTTGATTTATACAAACACAGTTAATAAAAGAATGGATTGAAACATTTCAAACCAGCAAAATAATTTTTGAGTAAATCTAGTATATAAATATTTTATTACACAAATAAGGTATATTGAAAGACATTTATATATTAATGGTTTAAATAAAAAAAAGTAGTTTTTCATAATTTATAATTTAAGATAATAAATTAAGAAAAATGTAACAACATTAATTAAATTATTTTATAAATTACTTAAGTCTATATATTAATTTATTTAAAAACAAATAAAACATAACAACTAACCTATTATATATCCATCTTTTTTCCATGTAAATTTAGGTCTAGGTGCAGCTTCTGGATTACATTCAATAGTTACATTTTTTCCTTCAGCACCATATATTTCAGGCTGTAGCGGTTTCTTTTTAAATGATGGACGTAAAGCTATAAAAAAAAAGCATATTATTAATGTTTCACTATAGTTTTATGTACATTAAAGAATATAATCAACTTACATAGCACTCTTAATTGTGCAGATGAGAAACGGGTTTTTAAAGTATTACGAGCTTGACATTGATACATTCCTGAATCTTTAGCATGTTCTAGAAATTTAATACTCAATACATTGTCCTGTATAATGTACCGTTTTTGGTCTTCTGGTGATAGCTGATCAATTTCTAGTGGTTCACCATTTTTAAACCACTTATATGTTACATCTGGAACGCCAAAAGCTTCACATGTCCACGTCAAATCTGATAGGTGATCCATGTGTTTATCTTCCAGTGGGATTGTGAAGTTTGGTTCGGCTAAAATAATATATATAGTTATGATATAAAACTGTACATAGTATCTAAAACATTGAACACTCCATAATGTTGTGAAAAATACTTAAATAGCAAAATCTATAATAAATACTCTCAATTGTCTACAGTTCAATGTTTTCCAATAGTTTATTTGTAAAAACCATTAGCCGATGGAAGTTTAATAAAGAAAAATAAATGAGAAACAATTACCGATAATTAAAATTCAATATAATATCTAGATATTTTGTAGGACATAAATTTAAGTTTTTTAACATCAGCCCTCTATTGATAAATCATAACGGCATCACAAAAATGGTTCGTCCAGTTTCATGCAAAAGCTGTTTACTATAGAAACAATTTTTAATAACCTTGTATTGTTAGAGTAACACTCTTCTCTTTACTGTCTCGATCATTAAAAACATGGCAATTATATTCTCCTTGATCTTCCACTTGAACTTCAGGAATTACCAACACACGGTTGTAGCTTGTCAAATGAGAACCTTTAGGTAAAGGAGAACCTTTTCTTGTCCAATTGTATGAAGGTACAGGACTAAAAGTAAAATTAATCAAAAGTAATTGTTATTAATTAGAAAATAAAGCACTTAGAAATTAAATAGGTACCTTATGGATTATATTTAAATTAAATATTGTTCTGCTGTTATAATTACTGAGTTATAGTGTACATTATATGTTAATTTGTTACAGGAAATGATGATAGTAATTATTCAGAAAATAACCAAGTTTCTTAGGGAATGACTTAAGAGGCTGAGTTGTTGGCCAATAACTAAAATGTACCGTTTATTACAAAATTGCCACAATTAATTACTTTATTAAGAATCATTATAAATTTATAATTATTAAAGGGTGGAGCATTGTTTATCGTTCTGCTGTACAGTAGGTACAAGTGGGTTATTTAAGTGGAATTTTGTTTTAAATTTTCAATCCTTAGGTTTACAATTTGAACATTTTATACATTTTTAAATTTTAAATTTTAAATTTGATAAATTCAAACTTTAAATGCTTATAAAAAAAAATTGTGCTTATATATTTTTAATATTCTTCAACTGCTATAGAAAAAATATATCAGAAGTCTTGTATATAATGTTCACGCTTTTTGACTCAACAAATAAAATTTTCATTAACAATTATAGAAAATAAAAAATTAAAAAAATTGAAGTCGAATGGCTCAACTCGTGCATACGTTTATATTTACATGCATTATGTATAAAATTTGTTAGGTACAAAAGCAGATAAATCTTTGAAAAGAAGCAAGTTTATAATATACTATCACAGGACCACAGGGATTTTAAAAATCTAATGGTAAATCTACAAAAATAAAATGTAGACTAATAAGACGGGTGCTTGACAGAGCAGTGCCAATAATAATATTTGTAACTCAAAGCGGCATAGTATTTTGACTTATAAAAATTAGGGTAGTTGAACTAATTTAGTTTATATAATAAAAAAATAATTGCCACTTAACCCTTTCACTGTTCCAGACGTACTATTACGTCCTTGTATTATGTGATTTTATAATTTTCTAGTAATCGTACTACTTCAGGAAACCCTGTTTCACATTATTTTAAACTCAAATAATTAGATCCTATATTCTCAAAATTAAAATTTTTTTTTTATTTTATGCAGCATGCACAAGTTGCTGTGCATAAATAGTGTAGCAGTAAAAATTTTAATTATCACATCAAATAAAAATTTTAATTATCACATTACCTAAAGATCATCACTAGTTCATTATAATTCCTAGTCAATATTTATATTTTTAAAAAACTTAGTATAGTATTTTCCTACATTTGTTAGGCGTTGTCAAAAATGACTAGAAAATAACATCAATATCTACGTAAAACAGGTTATTACATTGATACCATTTGGTAACAAATATATAGTTAGATAGTAAAATATAGTATTATTAAATTGCATATAAAAAAAAAAATGAGATAGAATAAAATCTTACTATGCAAATGCAACACATTCAAGTCTAACTTCTTGACCAGCAATTGGAGCTTCTGGAAAAGCTTTAGGGAAGTTGTTGGGTAGTATAAGTTGTTGATAGTCAGCTTAAAAAATAAAGAACGTATAATTAAAATAAATTTATATAAACTATAAAAATATGAATACACACAATGTGTCACTACATGTAACTGGAACATGGGCCCATTCTTGCCGGTTTTTGAAACTTCGCTTTGCACATTACAACTGTAGTTGCCAGCGTCACTTTCTTCCAAAGATGAAAAATACAAGTATCCATCAAATGAGACAAACACTCTCCGATCTTCTTGAACCATGTTAGGAAATGATTCCCTGACCCAAAAATATCTCACCTCTAAAAACAGTCAAAATTAATAGACAATTCATTTGAGAATACATCATAAAAGTATTTAAAAATTATTTCTCACCAGGGAAATATTGAGGAGGATCACAAAATATTGTTTTACCCCAATTCTTATTACCACGTTCAAGAGGACGTTGTAAATTAAATTCACCGATAAATCCAAACGAAAGTTGTATACTTTCAGAAACTACAGAACCAAACATATTTGATGCTTTACAATGATATCGACCTCTGTCTTCATCCTATTTTAATCAATAAAATTTGTTTATATACCTAAATCACCGCTTTAAAAATAAAACTAATTGTATTAATTTTTACCCTCTTCGGAGCATAAATAATAAGGGTTCCACCACTTAATGTGAATCTCATATTACTTAAAGGATCAATTTTTATAGATAATAATTGATCTTCGTTATCATAATCTTCTTTGAACCACTCATATGTTGGTGTTGGATACCCTCCAGCAACACAACTAAAACATTAATTTTTTTTTTATAAATACACATAAATAGTTTAAAAGTAAAATAAAATAATAAAATAATTTAAATATATTTAAACAAATAAATAAATAAATTGTATTAATAACAATAGAAAATTCTTATAATCGTATATACACACCTCAGAGCTACATCATTGGTAATTGATGATCCAGAACTATCAAATACTACATCTGTTGGTTCCTTAATAAAGTAAGGACCTCGGGGAACTTTTTGTTGATCATCAATATTATAGCCATATTTATAGGAACGTTCTTCAACTATTAAATGTTGTTTATTAAGAGGCATTTCACAAATATAAAGCAAATACCGATCTCCTGGAACTTTTTCAAATCCCCATTTTTGTAATTGGACTGAATACCTGAAAAAATTAATTGTTATATAATATTTTCTATTAATTTAGTAGAACACATTTCTATAAATTAAATTAGATTAGTGTCATCAAATGTAGGTATAATTTTTTTTCAAGATAAATTTAAGACTTACGTATATGCTATATAATCTCTGTTTAATGTAGTGTATTGTTCAGGTAAGAGTGCACTTTCAATATCAATAAGTGGGATATTGTTTTCTACATCATTTATCCACACTCCGGGGCTTGTTTGTTTACCACCTACATACCACTGTCTATGTTGTGGGTCTTGTTGCAAGAGTTGATTTATGAGAAAGCCATGTTCATCTAAGTTATTGACACTAGCTAAATCAGCTCCAAAAGCCTATAAAAGAGGTTCAAAATCAAGTCATTTAAGTATAAAATAAATAATTTACACTATTCACAGATATAGATGATTTTCTTAAATAGGTTCAAATGAATTATTCTATTAAAATGATATTAATTAAACTTAACATTTATACATTAATTTTGAAGGAGATACGTAAGTACAAATAAAATTTTTTATAGATTCCTTTTCAGCCCTAACTGCTAAGATTAGGGATGAATCAAGGTTCAAGGCTACAATTATGGTGGGGAGGCTGTGAATCTGTGATATTGTACATGATATACAAATAGTCAATCTACCCATAGTTCCGATAAACATGTACGATATACCTACCTAATTTTGTTCATGACCTAATTAATACGATAATATAAAATAAATTAAATAAGAGAACTGAAGATTCACAACATTAAACATTTTTCAATCAATACATAATAATATACTACATACATGGATGGGCAAGACTCTTAAAAATAAGGATCACAATATTAAATATTCAATAGTTGATACATTTGAATAAAACAACACACCGGTAAATACCACTGAACTACAGAAAATAACTTAATTATTATACTAATATTAGTAATATACCTCCTTATATTACAGTTATACTATTATTACAATACTACTATAGGCACTAGGAATTGAACTATGGTAATTTTGGTTGGATAATGTTTAATTCTAATATAATATAATAATATTGGTCAGGGTAAATCCATTTAATTTATTTTTTATATATCTTGTTTCCTTTTAAAAATAATATTTTTTTGGAAATAACAACAGACAATTTGTCTCTGGTAGGATTATTTATAAATTTACTTTTGAAAATTTACTTTGACAGGTGCTGAAGAGCACAAGCTGGTGTTAAGCTAAATAAAAAGTTGTTGAAGAATAGGATAATTATTTAATGGTTTATTTGTATAAAATACAATAAAATAGGTACCTCCTATATCGGATATAGCTCTATAGTAAGATGGTCATACAACCATTATGTACCTAACCTCAGTAGTAATATAGTCATTAAAAATCAATGTTCCAAAGTATCGTTTTAATGTATTGCAATACAAAATACTCTATACTTCTTATAACCGTAACGGTATACAAGATACAAGATATAATTGTATCTAAAATACTTGTATCAAAGATCCTGCCCAACCCTGACTATAAGTAATCAGGGTTGTTCCTACACTGACCTCAATGATAGGTGTAACCACAAGTTAACACAAACAGAAATAATTGATTTGAATTAGTATGGTATTGGATTCACTTAGTTCTGGTGCATATAACAGCATGTAGACAGCATGAGCAACCAGACTGTGGTAGGCAGGTATAACTTGTTATAGATTGTTTTTATAAACGCCACTTTAGTAGGTACAATAATATTATAAGAAAAACTTTAAAATATGTATTAATATGTACTAATTATATATTATGAATTGGGTTGGTATTAGATTATAATAAATAATATGTTAATTCAATACACTTTTAGGATGGACTACATACGGCTTACAAACCAGTTTGGTAAATTACATACAAAATTTACAGCAACAGGGAGGAAGGATAAGTTGAACTAGTAAAATAAATTATTAATTTAAATTGAATTGAATTATTTCTCTGCCTGAGAAATTTATATTATACACTATTACTGGGTACTAAGTAGGTGTATTCCAACTTTAATGAATCCTTAAATAACATTACATTTTACACAATGTTTGATAGGTATTGTTAAACAACCGATTTGGTACAGATAAATTACATGCATTTATGAAACAAATTAATTACGTACACCCATTATGAAAATCTACCACCATACCACACAATATAACTTATAAATAATCTTGGAAACTGCATTTCACAAATAAAACAAATAATTCTGAATAGAAAACAATAAAAAAACACATTTGTTTTTTGACAATACATACTAGACAGTTTCTGTGAGCTTCACTTCTCGGCCGGAATGGCGACTTTACAAACTTATAACAGGAGTTTCCGTACTGGACCCAGTACTGAGGACAATGCCAGGTGGTTTCCACATCGTTGAATTGCGACCAAGTCGACGGTGTCGAGCACCACAGGACGGCCAAAACGCACAGATAGCTGGGCTTGATCATTTTGAAAAGCGAAATAAAAAAGCCAAGCACTGTGCCTCGTTTACTACTGATTTACTATGCTGGTTTATGGCCGTTCATCGCGATTTAACGAGAACGAGAAAAGCAAATTAAAACAAAGCAACGATTTATAAAAAACAATAGATGGCGTAAATTGTAAAAACCAATGAGCAATGACAAAACACGACAAGAATATTATGTTTACTGTAGTGTTATACTGTTATCACCGTCGCATCCCGGAACACGCCCGCCCAATGATGGTCTGGAACAATGCGCAAGGTGGTTTTTTATTAATTGTTATCAGTTTCGTTAAACGGAAAGTGGCGTCCGACGCCGTCCGTTGGTATTCGTCTTAGATTGTATATTATGATCTAAGCCCTAAGGTATTCGTACACGCCCATCGTTTGTCGTTAGTCATTATGGAGGTAAAAATTAAAAATGTTCAAAATATTTAATTATTTGTTTGAACCACAGTCGACAAGGCACAAGGAACAATAACATTTTAATGACGTACATCAGCTGTAAAGCGAACATACCTATTACCTACATATCTAATAAAATATTTTGACTGACCAATATACAATATGCATATATATTACCTATTGGTAATATTATGTAGGCGTTACATATTGTCAATATGACAATATTATAATTTGAGTGCCTATTCAACAATTCGATTTACCGCAACAATAAAAATATGAGAGTATCTACGGGGGGACATGGCGGGGGTCAAATACCAATTACCCCCCCCCCCTGAGACCACATTTTGTACACAATACAACATGTATATATATTAACATGAATGAATGTGAACCATGAGTTAGTGTTATAAAAAATATAAAGCTTACGAGTCTACGACACAGATGAAATTCTACCCTATGCATTGTGGAATTTTGGTAAATCTACTAGATAATATATTAATACAGAAGTAGTATAGCGTTGTCCCGCACCAAACGGTTTTTGCTATAGGTACAAAGTAGGCACTGTCAGTGTTTGGTAGTAACGTAACGCAAATTACAAATTACTGTAAAGCAATTACTTTTTCTGTATTGCAGCAGTAATTTCATTACATTTTACTTAAAGTAACGCCATTGTAACAAAATTAGGTACATTTGAAAAGTAATTTCTATGAAGTACCGCACTAACGCGTTATTTTTCACGTTATTAAAATAATAGGTTTGAACTTTTGATATTCCAGAAAAATTAAAAATCAATTATATTTATTTTTGATTACGATAATAATAAATTATAGTTAACAATATTACTAAACATTCAAGGAATAAATGTTATCACTTACTAAAAAAAAAGTTCGATTTAAAAATAAAATAAATTATGATTTATGAGTTATGACTAAATAGCCATCACGATTTCTATCTTTAATCGTGATAGCCATATAGGTGAGATGATTCAATGATTGTAAATTCGTAGGTACATAATACTAAAATATGTTTATTATCACTAGGTCTATGACTGTAAAATATATACATAAAACATAATAATTGAATTATATAAATATTGAATATTTTTAAAAAAAGTAACGTTACTTGTAAGTTGTAACGCACTACGTCATTAATGAAAAAGTAATGTAACATGATAAAAATAATTTTAGGTAACTCAAATGTAATTTCAATGAAAATATTTGAAGTAACGAGTAACGTAATTTCATTGTAAATGTAATTTACCCAACACTGGGTACCGTACATTATTTTGTAAGGCGGAGACCACACATGCGGGTGTAGCGTCCTCTTAATTAATATTTAATTACTATAAATTATAATAGTCTATATTTCTATCTGCAGATTATATTATTATTAACGCTACCCATGCATTTATTATCTCCGTCTTACACACGCACGACATAGCAAATTTCCATTCGCTAGTTTAAATAGTGCGTTGTTAGTTTTAATATTAGAGTGAATTGACCTATTATCATACTTTTAGCCTTTAGGTAAGAATATTATCTGTGCTTAATAGTTGGCGATTTTTCAATATTTTCATTTTCGGGTAAGATATGTGTATGTGAAATATAAATAGGTAATTGAAAACGCTCATATCTCCCTTGAAAATTAAAATATCGAATAAAAGCACGTATAATGTTATTATCTAAACATGTTATATAATAGGTCAATTCACTCTAGTATCAAAACTAACAGCAATACAGCATACTAATAATATACTATTGAAACGAGTGAACGACAATTTATTATGCCGTGCTTGTGTAAGACTGAGACAACAAAATATGTATGGGTAGCGTCCTAGGATGTCGGTGGCATATGCGCAATTTGGGGGGTGCTTAGTACCCCCCAAAATTCATATTAGCACCCCAAAATTGTTGATAGCATCATCCAATATTTATTGACTATACTATTATGCCATAGGTATTTGGAAACATTTATTTCTTTGACTTTATCATTTTCATAATAATATAATAATACATGTATTACCTATCAGAATAATAATATAGATAAAAGTGTATTATGTTATAGGTAATTGTTTAAATTAAGATTAATGCAGATGTGTGAAAAATTATGTTGTTTGATAGGAGGGGTGTGTAGGGGGTAGAGCCGCCCTCTGACCACGTTAGTCGACATACATCTAGCACCCTCATAAATTTAGCCCAAATTGCGCCTATGGACTCTGCGCACTATTGTTTCCTCTCTGGCCCGTGCACAACATAGACAAAACGCACTCAGAATCATTTTTTCTATGTTTTTTAGTAATCTTAGAGTTAAATCATCCACCACAAAAAAGATAGAGAATAATCATTATGATTATTAATTATAAAATAAAATTGTTTTACGAAAAATTACTATAAATAATGAACTATGTTTTCCAACAATTTTGTTTATGTTTTTTTGATAATTTTAGATTATAGATTTAATTATATAAAAAGGTAGTTATAAGAAAAAATATTTAGCTCTTGTAGATTAGGTATTTCAGTAAAAAAGTATTAATGCATATTTTACTCAACTTTAGAAGACCTGCATAGTTAATAACCTAGCAAATCAAAATTGATCATTTGACTATCAAAATGTTCAGAAAAAAGCTTTACCAGAATCCATAAAAAATATAGTGGATATGTATCATTTGAAAAAATAAAGTCGATTTTATTAATGGTACAACTGCGTGTTTAAAAATTTTGAAAATGTTTTAAAAAAAATTGCCTGTTAAAAATAAAGAAACACGTCTTTTTTTTGTTTTAACGAAATTCCATATCATCGACCTTAATTGTTAAAAAAAACCCGCGTAGGTACAATGACATAAGATACGCCCTGTCACCCTGTATATTTTTTGTATACCTAGTAAAAGATTATACAATAATATAAAGTCGTTAATATGTAATAATGGATTTTCTAAAAATATAATTGGCACCCTATAAAATATAGTTTTACCGCGCCCCTTAGAGGTGGCCAGTACGAACTTGTATTCCATTTCCATAACCCATAATAGGTATAAGAACTTTATCTGTGTACCTATTAGCACATTTTATTGAAAATGTAATAAAGTGATTATTAAATCATAAACAGCAAATTAATTTATATTTAATAATATATTTAGGTAGGTACCTACCTAATAAGACATTAAAAAAAAATCTAAACAGTAGATTAGGTGTTGTTCTATAACTAGTATTACCTTACCTATAATCTATAGGTACCTGTTGTTTCTTATAATATACGAACTGTGAATGTCAATGTTTACATCAGTAAAATATTTAAATATATTATATTAAGGCCCGAGCACACAGAATGCGGTCTGTGATATCGTATATACATACTGTATATAGGTACGATATAATTGAGAACACTCAATATCTTTGTGTAGAGCCCTGCAATTTGAATTCTGATTTTTTGTTTGTTGGTATGACATAAAAACACACCTTTTTATAGCCTTTGAATTTTTTTAACTTAATTTGACTAAAAATTTTAAGCCTAAACAATTCTAGAATAATTATTTTCAGATTTACAGTAAAAAATCTAAAAATGTCGTGTATTTTGTAGTATTTTTGTTGATTGGCTGTAACTTGGTCAGTTTTGGACTTAGAAAGTTGTTTAAACTACCAAAATGCTTTAAACAATTAGGCAAAAATAATAAGTGGTTAAAATAGGAGAATGCCATTTAAAAAAAAAAAGTTGTACTATGCATGCGCTAGTCGAATTAAGTTAAAAAAATTCAAAGGCTATAAAAAGGTGTATTTTTATGTCATAACAACCAACAAGAAATCAGATTTCAAATTGCAGGGCTCTACACAAAGATATTGAGTGTTCTCAATTAGCGTTTACACACTGTATATATTATATATATATATGATTATCGTGACGGTCAATGTTAAATTCTGTATTTAACTACAACCAGACCACTGTCCACCGCGACATGCCTCATTCTATGTGTTCGGGCCTTTAATGATAATCATTACATACCTACCTGTCTACATAATTATAGTTGAAAAATAATTACTTTTAAAGCTAATCATGTCTGAACCGATCAAAATGTTATTATTTGTGTTGAAAAAGCGTTTGCCTATCGATTTCAATAACAAATTTATAAGATATGAAAAGAATCTAGCATCTAGGTAGGTACCTATGTCCATGTTATGCATGAATGTCCTATGTATGAATATTGAATACCATTTCAAATAATAAATAACAACTATCCAATTTTTGCAAATTGTTTACAGTCTGTTTGGACTGTTTGGAGACATGTTTAAAATTCTGGGCTTTAACAAGTTGTTGATAACAACATTACAACAGAAGGAATAGGTATTAAAGATTCTGATTTTTAATTTTAAGTCCGAATGATGAATGCCCTTAGTTTCATACTTATTAATAATGTTGAACAAGCTTTTATTGATTTGATGCATACTAATTATTCTTTAACAAATGAAGACACTAAGACACATATTTTTATGGACCAGGTATTTCAAAAATAATTTGGTTGGTTAATTTTTTAGTATTTTAAATAAACTTAAAGAGTTTATTAGTACTGAATCATAGTGAACAAACAACAATGTAGGTAGTTATGAACCTTTTTAAAATTAAAATAATACTTACCTATTTAATAATATAGGACGTAGGTAACAATAATGATTGATTTCCAACATGTAGGATAAAGATTGGTTGATAAAGAAAACAGTAAAAAAATACCTAATACTTAACCAATAATGATTCACATTTCTCAAAAATTAATATTATTATCATTCTTCCAAAAAATATACTTTTTATTTGTATTTATATTGAAGTACCAATTACATAATTTAAAAAGTTCTTAAAAAACAAATTTAGGTACTTCTAATTATTTTTTTAATAATTTATAATCAGTAATATGTATTGATAAGATAATCGATTTAACAAAATAAGAACCATGTTTGGAACATTTAAGTAAATACCTAATCAAAATTAATTAGGCACAATATTCCGCTTTAGGTTCACATTTATATTGCAATGTCATCCTACCACCCTTCGAATCTGTCACTGTTCCACTATGCAGTAGCACAACCTGTGTGCACGTTATGTCTATGACGTATGTATATAATTATTTTTTATAATCATTTATGACATACCAGGACCTTAATAAACACATATAATAAACATACAATTTACAGTCACTACATTATTTTTACTACCAATCATTTAATTTGTATTTTAATTCAATCTTTTACAATAATTAGTGAATTAATAATAGATATGTTGCACGAGTTTCGAAATTCAGACACTTAACAACTAATACAAATTATGATTATAATTTATAATAATATATACACTATTACACTAAGAAAATAGGTATTTACACAATATGTAATTTAATAAAAATAAAAAGTATAATAAGTACTTTTAAAAATTAATATTATGGAACATGTTTTAAATGTTTTTAATATTCTAGTTACATAGCAAAAGTGCCAAACCTATATAGCCAAATATTACGGTTCGCGAAAATATTTTTTCATCAACTCAATTCAATTCTCGCAGTTGTATTTAATGAAAAAATTATATAATCACATCAACATACCAGTTGTGAAAGTTCATCTTTCACAGTTAATGGATGAAGTTAATGTTGCTTATATTTAAATAAAACATTTAAAACAAACAAAATAAATATTTTGTGTTAAAAAAATGTTGGTTAATTTTTTTAAATCCCCATCATCTCGAGAAAAATATATTATAAGCACATAACATTTTTTAAAACTAATTGCAACATTTTAGGATTTAATCAGAAAAAGTTTGGCACCCCTGTTATATAGTATACATAATAATGCATTTATGTAGTCAATATAAACAAAATAAACAACTTTGACTACAAAAATACACATGAGTTATAAGTCATAAGTAATAATAACTTTATTTTAGTTAATTTTTAGTTATTAAGTTATTAGTAACTTATTTTAGTACCTATAAATTATTTTAAGTATTAAACAATTGGTCGTTTTTATATATTAAGCATACCCCTAAAACTCAGGGTATGAACTAATCATAATTTAGATTTCTAGTTGTAAAGAAACAACATTTTAAGGTTGCAAATTAAATAAGAATAAATTTAATGTATTAGTCAGCTTAACACAATGAAAACAGTTTAAATTAACTACTCTAAAAATTATATTCACAAAAATACATGTAATAATGAAAATATTGATAGTTAATAATAGCTATACATAGAAGTATAATATATCAGTTATAAACAATTATCACTTAGCAATTGGTAAATTAGGTATATAAAAACATTTAGCTCATCTTTAACTTATAAAGCTAAATTAAAACATTTATCATCGGTCTGGAAATATCATATTCAGAACATCCTTAATCGGGTCACCATTGTAAAATACAGTAAAATCATTCTGTGCAGAAGAACACTTTTCTAATGTACCTTCAATCCACATTTCAATTGGTTCATACCAACTAGCATTCAATAAACAGTGCTCCAAATCAGCTTTTCTATATAATTGGAGCATTTGCAATATGTCTAAACACCAAGATCTACGGTTTGAAAGTCTGCACATATTTTTTACATAATCTATTAAATCATCAACATTTTTAGGTGGCCATGATTCATATGGCAATAGGTGCGCACTATTCAATAAATCTTCAAAATATTTTAGATTCAAGTTTGAATGTTCTTTTGAAAACTCATCTGGATTTTGAGTGTAATATGGAACCAAATCGGGTGCCAAATTTGTTAATATTTGATTACTTCTACCCAAGCGTTTAATGTAAGCATCCAAGCATTGATTGTATTTTTCAATAATAGTATTTGGATTATCATCAGATAATATACAACGTACTTTTACGAAGAAATGTTGAGAAAAATTGAGCAAATTATAATATAATTTTTCTGTACGCGTACCAGGGGTAAAGTCTACATAATTTTTGGAAAAAAATTCAATGGATTCTAGAATGGTTTTTGGTCCTTCCCACATGTAAACAGAGTAATTATTGATGTACTCGTTTTCCTTGTACCCATCTAAAACATATTCATAATCTTTAATACAATCTTTATTTGACCTCGAAGAAAATATCATGACTAAAGGTATTGCTGTTGGAGTCGATTGCAAAATCGAATCCACACGTTTAAATAACGTCTCAACATCTTCTTTATCCGTATTTGTGAAAATAAGAGTTGCGTTTAAACCATTGTTTGTCCAGTTGAATTGTCCAATACAACTATGCACTGTTTTTATGAAATATGCATTACAATCAGTATGGATGGTTTGTATTTGATTGTTACAAAATCCTAATTTACCATAAATAATAGTTAGGACTTTTTTTTCTATACAGTAGGGTTCTGGTGTATCCCCATAATTAACTGCCAATTTCCAAAATATCTTTTTCCCAACAGATCCATCTTTATTCATCTCTTTTACATTTTTAACAAATATATTAGCCATTTGAACACTAATATCATGTTCTGCAGAATTATTACTTAATGGATGATGTATTGGAATTTTTAATTGCCTCTTCGACTTCAAATCTTTAATCGTAACTGGTAATGTCTCTTTTGGTGTGCCATGTACTTGCATAAATACTGACCATGGTAAACTGCATACAGGATCAATTTCAATCTTTCTTCTTCTACGTAAAACTTTTCGTAGCCAAATATAGAAATACTTTTCTGCCAAAATGTACTGTTTATTTAACCATTCTTTTGGTTCCTCTTGAATTTCAACAACTTCATCGACATAACTTGGAGACTTTATTGATGACGGAGATGACGACAATGATGAAATACACTCTGAATGAAATAGATCACCATGTGCAAACATCTCTTCGATATACATAGATTTCTTACAATTAACATAATCCTGCCATTTGCAAAAATATTTTTTGGTAAGATTATTTCGATGTTCTATTGATTGCATAACATCTAGTTTTTCTTTAAAATTAATTTTAGGATGTGACTGAATAGGACTTATATTCATAGAAATTTGGCATGGAGGTTTCATAGATACTACTTGAGTAATTGTTACTGGAAGGCTTCTTATATTGCTGGTTACAAGTGAATTTGATGTAATATTTGATTGGTCCGAGCTAAAGTTATCTTGGAAAGTAGATAATTTTGTGGGTGGGTTCCATTTTGTTTCAAATTTGGTAACTGGTTTTTGAATTTGTGTAGGAAACGAAAACTTAGGTATATTAAAAGTGAATGTAGGTATTTCTAAATCTGTGGTTTGTATTGGAGTGGTTGAGAATAATTGTCTGTTTGCATCATCTTTTGAATTTATTAAAGAATAAGTATCTATTACCATCTGAGAATCTGATATTTCATTGTTCAGATCTTTGTTTACTTCATTATTAACATCATCATAAAAACGATCATTAATATCAAAGCTTGAATGAACTGGGGTGACTATGACATCAGGCATGCTTTCTATTCCAGATATTAAATATGTTAAATTTTGTCTTTTTTCAGAGATTATGAATTCTTGTTTTTGTCTTCTAAGCTCAGGCGCACATATGGCTAGATTATGCGAAAGATATACATACTTTTCTTTATATTGTAACTGAATATCAGAAAAGAACTCTTTAGCCAATTGTATATCATCAAAACAAAGTTTTTCCATAAAATGTTCCATTTCAAGCTTATAAACTCTCTTGACAGTTGTATATGACATGTTCATCATTTTTATATTATTATATCTAATACTTGGAATAACTCTTTGTAATATACAACAATTCATAAAAGTCGTACTTTTCAGTAAATTGAAAAACTCTTTACAGTCACTTGACTGTAAATAGGTTGTGTTAGCATTAATACAGAATCTTACTTGAGGTGATTGTTTTATATGAATTGGTAATAAATCATATGCAGTATGAAATTGTGGGTTTCCTAAATGCATAAGTAACTCATACGACACAAACTCTGGTTCATTTGGACATTGATGTTCTGAATCTCTATACATGGGCATCAACATTTGAATGCAATTGTTTAAGTTTTCCGTGTTTAACTTGATATCAAAGCCTGTATAGCCAAGCATTAAATCATAACAAGCAATATGAAAACGGCCAATTTGTTCAAGTATTGTCACAACTTCCGAGTTCTGTAAATTTTGTTGAACAATATCTTTTCGTATTGCACGCAAACGATCCCAACAAAAATCATACCAACTAGCTAAATCTTGTTCAATGTTAGATTCAATTGGGTATATAATATTTTTAAGCATGTAATGCATGGTCTTAACAAGTATAGGTGTCGGTCTCAATTCTTGAGATAATGGATTGGCTTGGTCAGCAGAACTTCTAGCATATTGTTTTACCATCATTTCAAAAACTGGTTCCAATTTTGAATCAATCATTTTACATTCAAACTGTGAAACCATGTTACCATGTATACGCAGTAGACGTTCTTTTTCTGGGCACATATCTTGACAGGTACCTTCCATTGGTTTAATTTCATCAACATTAATTTCTTTGTTTGGCAGCGTAGAAGATGTACGTAAAATTTTATCCCTAATTTCCAATACTTGTAGTTTTTTATAAACAGTTGTAGCTGAAATTCTATCATAATTGTGCTCAGTAACTTCAGTATTTTCAAACTGAGAATCAGTTGGACTTTGAAAATGTTGATCATCATTAAACAGTTGATGTAAACGCTGTGATTTAAAAGGTGGTTCGTCTTTGAAAGCCTTATCTTCATCATGGGTAGTTCTCTTCATACGTGAATTGGTGCCATTAAATTTTCCATCGCCCATTTTATTAGTACAAAACAAATTTTATGTATACTATTATATATAATACTTAAATATACATTTTATTGGTATAATTTTGATACATATTAGATCTCGCTGTTTTCATTTTTGATAGAATTACCATTTTTTAATGTCATGCCTGAAAAAAAAAAAAAAAATAGTTAAAACCTTGCAATTATTCAAAGTATACCCATTACCTACATTTGTAACATAAATAGGATTAAGTAGCAATGTTTTAGCCTATATTATTTTCCAAAATTTAAAGTAAAAAGTTAATTTTTTGTATTCAATTAATACTATGGTTCATAGCCGAAGAATGGTGGGGGATAAGGGGGCCATAGCCTCCCAGAAATTCGTTTAGCCCCTTGTGTAAAAGTTTACTGTTTTACATGTCCATATGTGAGAACTGAAAACATTTTCTATTATTTATTTTGATGGCCGAAGGATATTTTATTTCATAATTACAATTTTAAGTAAAAAATGCTAATTATAAAGAACTGTATTGATAAAAATGATTTTGACATAGATGCTATCGTATCATAAATTAACAAAAAAAATTTTCCAAATTTATATAAGCTTTTAAAAGTAGCACTTACAATTCCAGTAAGTTCTGCTTCTTGTGAACGATCATTTTCAGTAATGCAGCGAATAAAAACATGGCTAAGAAATTCTATGTCTAATGATAGATTTTAAAATCTATCGTTACTTCATATTGAAAGGGACTTAGCTAATATTATTAAATCTGAAGAGGTTCTTAATATATTTGGCCAAAAAACCAGGCGTTTAAACTTTATACTATAGTAATAATTTTCTATTTAAATGTTTTTTTTTTATATTTAATTCAAATACAAAATAGGTATTTGATAATAATATGATGTATGGTACATTATTTATTTATATTTTACTTTATAATGTGCTTCTTTAGTTATTTTAATATTTTGTTATTTTACATTTTTCTATAATTATATTTATAGAATATATGTTCTGTGCCTGAATCAATATAGCCTTTTTGCAAAATTATTCGCAAGAAGTTGAGGCAGCGTCAATAATACCACAAAAAAAAAAGCTCTAGCCCCCCCCCCCCCAAAAAAAAAACATCACTCTATCTACGCCTATGCTATGGTTCGATAATAACAATATTGATACGGTTACATATTCAATTAAAAAAATTAATTTAATTTTGAACACAAAATTGTTTAACAGAATCTCAAGTATGCATTTTTTGGATTATCATATTGGTAAACAAACCATTTTTTGAAGCAGGGAAAGAGGACATTTTCGTTTTAATACATAAATTTATAAAATATAATTTTTAATAAACTTAAGTTATTTTTATGATATGTTAGCCCTTTATGGCTTTATATAATATATGTTTTTTTGTTTTTACTTTTTTATTCCAAACACATTTAAATTTCATTAAATCTAATACATAAATAAAATATGTATACAAAGTAGAAATTTTACAAAGAAAATAATTATTTGAGAATAATAGGGCATTCTCTTAATTAAAATGTGTATAAAAATTAAGATACCCATAAATTTTAAAAGTTCATAAATAACCTTATTAATAATCAAAAACTGGCCAAGGGCGAGTCGGACTTGCGCACAAAGGGTTCCGTACCATCATCAGCTATAAACATGTTGGCAACACAGCTTATTTTATATATTCTATGATTTTTAGTATTTGTTGTTATAGCGGAAACAGAAATACATAATCTGTGAAAATTTCAACTTTCTAAATTTCATGGTTCATGAGATACAGCCTGGTGACGGACAGACAGCGGAGCCTTAGTAATAAGGTCCCTTTTTTACCGTACGGAAATCTAAAAATGATCTACCATGATTTTTGTTATCTTTTAATAACAGATCAATAAATTATTATGATAATTTAATTTTTTTAATTTGTTTCATCAATTAAGAAAATAAGGTTTAATATAAAATTGACATACCAAGTATATAATCATAAAAAAAATATTTAATTTCCATTTTTCATTTTGGTTTTAAATTATTTTTTTTTTATAACATTTTTAAAAACATTATTATCCCTGGTATTAACACCCATTGAAATATCAAGTCTATTGGTCTTTATCAGAACTATTATAAATAAAATTTATATTAATAAATGTATGTACTTACTTTTGAATAATAATTGAAACATATATTGCTTCTAAGAAGAATTATCCTATCATACAGTTGAACATTTGATTCTCCGAAGTTATTTATCTCTATAAAAGTAAAATAAATTACTAACAAAATACATTTTTAAACATTCACCAAATTTCATAATTAACAATGATATTTAACGTTATTATTTAAATGTTAAGTAGTTAATAAGTGTCGTGTTAAAATTTTAAAACTACATTATTCTGGAATAACTGAGAAAAGCCAAAAAATATAAAACTGCATAAAAATTAATTTTCTGGTTATGATCAAGGTTAAGAGGTAATAGAATTCACATAAGACATTTTTTTTTTGGTAAATTTTAGAATATCAAAAGTAAAATGAAAATTTGTAATACACTTCCCTGATGTAATTTACAATATTTTTTTTGTTAATTTTAGCACATTTATGATTTATACAGTTATTTTAGTATTTTAGAATTTAATTTTAAGACGTATTTTGAAAAATTGTGTATAAATATTGTATTGTACTAATATAAATCATAATATAATTTACAAAATATTAATAATAAAAGTTAGAATTAGGTGATGAATGTTAAACATAACTCATTGTTGCCTAATTATTTAATATTTTTTTTTATTCATGGCTTAAAAATAATAATTAGTTGAAATCTACATAAAAACCTCGATTGAAACTTATAACTACAAAACGGTTTTAATGTTGTTATTTTATAAGGATGAGGAAAAAATATGTAGATACTGCTTTGCATTTGCATTACCAATAAATCAATATAGATATTTGATGAGTATGAATTTTATTATAGAATCTAAGAAATATTTTTAACTTATTATTAAGGAATACATTTTATAAATTAATGACCAGCTTAAAGTTAAGTTGTCTTATGAAAAAAGGTTTTCTCTTCACTGAATAAAATAAATCTTTATTATTATTAATAAAACTTTTTTTTTTTACCAAACATTATTTTTTGCAATTTTTTTTTTATGACTGTAATTAGTAAAGCATACTGAAAACAATGGTGTAGTCAGAATTTAGTCAGACTTAGTTTTAAAGTTCAAGCTAATTTAAATGTACAGTATTTTCATATATACCCGGCGTGGTCACTCGCTCGGACAATTAAAATCGAAAACATCCCTGACTTGTTCTGTAAAACCACATTGGATGGATCTTAGACTTCAAGTAGCATATAATTAAAAACTAAGTCCAATCGTCAAATTTTCACTTCTCCATTATTTTCAGCAAATTGACTACATACGTAAAAAAAAATTTTTAAAAAAGGATGTCCAGTAAAACAGAAATACACCATGTTATTTTAATATTTTTTATTTTGTAAAGATATATTAGTCTGTTCAACATAAGCTATAAGCAATATTGATAAATAATATGTGGTACTTCAATGAACATGAAATATTGTAAAAATTAGACTATTCAGTAAAGTACCTCAAAATAGTACCTTACTAGTAACCAGAATTTTAAGAGGTAAGTCTTTAAGGTAATGGATTAGGAGACTTGTATAAGACGCCAACAGCAGATGTTTGCTCGTTTGGCAGTGCTCCTAATTTGGATACGATATGATTATATTGATCTGATGATTGATTAGTAAATAAGTATTTTATTCTTGAGACTTATGGGATTTTAATATAGGACAAAGTAAATGGAGATGAGAGTTTTGTTGTTCGCGTATGTTGTTGGGAAAAAATACAATTCTCGATTATAGCGATTACTGATTTTGGATATATTAACAGTAAAAACCTTCATAAATCATAATTAGTTAAAAAATAGCATATTATTAAGTAATTGCATTATAACTTGACGAGAACGGTTGCTGGAACAACCCATGCAGGTTATTATTAATATTACATTAATTATGATTGTTCCAGGTTATGATAATAAGTTTGTAAAATCGAACAAATATTAATTGTACGTAATGCATTTTAATTTAACAGTTATTGAAAACGTAAATTACAATTATAACAACTGTTGAATATTTAGGCATAATTTTGAGGGCCAGGGGGTCTAAGACCTGTACTTTAAATTTCTGGAGGGCTTAGTAGGTACACGATTTTCGCATATGAAGCGGTGTGTTGAACGGTTGATAAACAAACACTAGACATGCAGTGACTCACCTTTTTCCTTCGCGGCAGCGATCGTGTTTGGTCTGTCCGTGGATAATACTGTTAGGTAAGCCGATTAAATAGACTTCGGTGAAATGGCCGGAAAAAAAACAAATAAGTTTGACAAAGGAACGGACTCGTAACGACGTTTACTGTTTGGCGATTTTCTAGCCGGGTGAGAAGGCCGCCAAATTGATAACATTCGACGGCGTGCACGGACGTATTCACAGCCGGAGGGCCGATGCGAAACGTTTTCCGCACACCGTTGCGACTCATGAATTTACAACCAAAGACTATAAAGTTATTTTCTTCCTCCAATCACTGTATAGACTATAGACCTACAACTACATAGTCACAGTGTATGGTTGTTGGGTAGTAACGTAACGCAAATTACAAATTACTGAAACGCAATTGTAAAAAAATTACTTTTGAAAAGTAATTTTTATGAAGTAACACACTAAAGCGTTATTTTCCACGTTATTAAAATAATAGTTTTGAATGTATTACAGGTACCTACTTATAGGATATCCCAGGAATATTAAAAATCAATTATACTAGATTCTGAGTGAAACGATGAATGTATTGATTTTACAATGATGTGTTTTTTTCTAATTTTTTTATTTTTGTGTCTGTCATCACGTTTTAGGACAGTAAAAGTGCTTGGATTTTCTTCAACAGTATCTTTTCTGATGGGAAAGTGAATCTAGTTGATACTTTGGGGGGTCAAAAATAAAAATTTCCCCGTAGTTTTCACAAGCGCCGGGAAAAACAACATAAAAATTATATTAAGGAAAAACGGGAATTTTTTACGCAAAATCGGTTTTCCAAAAAATCGATTTTGGTTTTTGGTGTAACTCTAAAACAAATGAACGTATGTACATGACATTTTCACTGGTTGTTTATATTTGCATTTTCTATACACGTTAAAATTTTTAAAATATAATTGGTTTTGAACTGTTTAGGAACATTTTCATTTTCCATTTTTTTCTAAAAATATTAATAAAATTTTATTTGTTGGTTAAAAAAGCTTGAAAATTTAATAGAAGGCTAATGCCTAGTAGTATATTGTTTTAAAGGCAGATGAAAAATATTAAAAATCCTTAGTCACAGTTTTTTCTTTATAAACATTTAAACTTCAAAAACTGACAAAATATTTAAAAAATCACGAAAATTAGCAAATTATTTTGAGTTAAGAATTTGTAAGAATTTTTATTTTCAAATCTTAGATTTTAAAATTGAATACAAGATTCCTTATAAGATTATCTACCTTTATCAAAAAAAAAATGTCTATGAAAGTCAAATTAAATTTTTATGAGCGTTTGAAATTCAAATTTTCACAACATTGGATATTCACTCGATTTCTCATGTAGCGATTTCCTTATTTTGTTGTAATTCAAAAACGAATAACTGTAGACACACGAAAATTTCACTGAATGTTTAAATTAGCATTTCCTATACACCATACAATTTTGAAAATATTTTGACTCTTTTTGAGCAGTTTACGGACATTTTCAGTTTTCAATTTTTTTAGTTTTTTTTTCTATAAATATCAATAAAGTTTTATCTGTTGGGCCAAAATGTGTAAAAATTTAATACAAGGCTCCTGATATATTGTTACAATAGCAATTGAAAAATATTAAAAATACAGTCACAATTTTTTTTTTTAAAAGATTCTGAGTGGAGACGATATGTTAGTCTAAGTATAAGTCATATTATATACATCTCTATGGTATTAAACAAAATTGACCTATAATAGGTACGTATAATAAATTCCAAATTAATCATATCATAATATCCATTAGGTACTTATAACGCTTTATACATCAATAACACACATTGATACTATCATAGAAATATAATAGTGTACTTTAGAAGTTTCAAGAACTCACGAATAATATTATACAATCACAACAAAATAACTAAAAAAGGTATTCTAGGTTTTTTATTATGTAATTTCGTCCAAATTTAAACTTAAAATGACTATAAAAATAAACTGTATTTCTGTATTTTTTAGATTATTTGGTAACAGAATAAACTACTTACGTGGAATCTTGTTTTAAATTTTCAATCCTTAGATATAAAAGTTGAACATTTTATAAATTTTTAATTACAAAATAATTATTCAAAATTAAATTTGATAAATTTTGTCAAAATTCGATCTTTAAATGCTTATAAAAAAAATATTTATAGAAAAAAAAACTAAAAAAAAGCTGGGCAAGTGGGTGTCGCTCTGCTGTACAGACGTACAGTAGGTTACAAGTGGGTCACTGTATAATGGATGATATTAAATTTGAATTCAACGATATAATATCATTGTATAAGTAAAACGATTCTGAGCGGAGACGGCATGTCAGTCTAGGTATAAGACATATTAAATAGGTACTTATCTATGGTATTAAATTATATGGAATTATGAATAAGTTATTCATTGCCCCTTAAAATATGCACAGTCTTATCATTGAGCATACTTCTTATTCCTTATCCTATGGTAGATTGTATTGTATGGATAGGCCATAATATTTTGATTTTTCAGTTTCATATATTCCCGAATAATATTTTTAAATTACAACAAAAAAACAAGATTGTTAATATTGATTTTAATATGTAATTTCGTCCAAATTTGAATTTAAAATGTCTGTAAAAAATAACTGTGTTCATATATTTTTTAGAATTTTTGGTTACAGTATGACCTATTTATAAGAACCTTTGTTTTCAATTTTCAATCCTTAGCTATATAAACTGAACATTTTATAATTTATTAATTACAATGATTCAATTGATAATTTTTGAGATTTTGATACATTTTGTCAAAATTTCAACTTTAAATGCTTATAAAAAAAATTGTGCTTACGTATTTTCAATGTTTTTGAACTGATATTGTAACAATACATCAGGAGTATTGTATTAAATTTTTACACTGTTTGACCCAACAGATAAAACTTAATTGATATTTATAGAAAAAAAAAAACTAAAAAAATTGAAAACTGAAAATGTCCGTAAACAGTTCAAAAAGAGTCAAAATATTTTCAAAAGTGGATGGTGTATAGGAAATGCTAATAGAAACATTCAGCGAAATTTTCATGTATCTACAGCAGTGTTTCCCAACCGGTGGTCCGCGGTACCTTTCTTAGTTTTCTATTAAAAATTCTATTAAACAGCGAAAAATATTTTATTTTACCGTAATATACGGTTATCTTATCGTATATAAAAATCACACTAAGTAAATTATTAGTAAAGTTTAATAATTATATATAATAGTACAGTAAAATAATAAAAATTTTCCAATAAATTTTTGCGTATTCTTGTTAGTGAGCAAAAAAAAAAAAAAGGTCTTCTTAGTTTGCGTAAAATTGAGGTGGTCCGCGACCTATAAAATATTGTCAAAGTGGTCCGTGGTGGTAAAAAGGTTGGGAAACACTGATCTACAGTAATTCGTTTTTGAATTACAACAAAATAAGGAAATCACCACATGAGAAATCGAGTGAATATCCAATGTTGTAAAAATTTGAATTTCAAACACTCATAAAAATTTAATTTGACTTTCTTATAGACATTTTTTTTTTTTGATAAATGTAGATAATCTTATAAGGAATCTTGTATTCAATTTTAAAATCTAAGATTTGAAAATAAAAATTGTTACAAATTCTTAACTCAAAATAATTTGCTAATTTTCGTGATTTTTTAAATATTTTGTCAGTTTTTGAAGTTTAAATGTTTATAAAGAAAAAACTGTGACTAAGGATTTTTAATATTTTTCATCTGCCTTTAAAACAATATACTATTAGGCATTAGCCTTCTATTAAATTTTCAAGCTTTTTTAACCAACAAATAAAATTTTATTATTATTTTTAAAAAAAAATGGAAAATGAAAATGTTCCTAAACAGTTCAAAACCAATTATATTTTAAAAATTTTAACGTGTATAGAAAATGCAAATATAAACAACCAGTGAACATTACTTATATATACGTTCATTTGTTTTAGAGTTACACTAAAAACCAAAATCGTTTTTTAGGAAAACCCATTTTTTGTAAAAATTCCCGATTTTCCTTAATTTTTATGTTGGTTTTCCTTGCGCTTGTGAGAACTATTGGGAATTAATAAGTTTGGCCTCCCGAATGCACCAACTAGATTCACCCACTTGTTACCTACTGAACAGCAGAGCACTTTTTTCTTATTATTATAGTAAAATTCCAATGGAGTAACTTATTGGTAAAAACTATACATCAACGATCTGGACATATTGAACTTGAATGCTTAACTACTGTCAGAATTACAATAAATTTTATTTTATTGAGTGTCCAATCAAAATAAAATAAACCTTTTACAAAAAAATACAAATATAGTAGGTACATAAAGAAATGATAACAGTAATACTTTAAGCTATATACTTTGTGTATTAAATCATAACAATATTTTTATTTTTAAATACTACTAATATTCATAAGCTAAGGGTTACAATTAGAAATATTGAACTGAAAAAAAAAACAACATTTTAACCAATATTTAAAAACAACTCGAGAGGAAATGTAAACATAAATCAGATAAACCGAAAAATAACAACAATTTTGATATCAATAAAAAAAAAATATATCTATATAATTTTTAAAAATGTAAAGAATTAGTGATTTAACTTCAGGGAAAACACTAAAAACGATAAATTGTTGAATTGTTTTAAAAGTTCTTCTTCTTAATTAATTTATTATGAGACAACAAATTATACTTTTAATTCATTCAATACTCATAAGAGTAATATCAGTAAAAATAAATTAATATAACAAAATATTAATTGTTAATAAAATGAATAAAATATTATATACCTATAAAATGATCAGTTATCCCAATTTTCTGAAAAAAAAAAAAAAATAAGTTATCCACCAGTTAAAGTATTAATAAATACATCTGTTTAAGTATACTTTATTAAAATTTAAATATTGAAGAATAGATATTTACCATCTAATGAATGCACTAAATAATAAGTAGGTACATCAAATAATAATATGTTGTCTTATCATTTTTCCTGGTAGGGAACTAATATATCTGAGTTACTCTACATTTGTTAGGTAAAAATGTTATACCTAGGTACTATAATTATAATGTGGATATAATGGTCTGAGAAGTTGGTAACCTAAATTTGTCTAGTCAATTAAAAAAATGTGTCAATATTTTACAAATTAATTGCAAAATTGTTTCTAGAACTTAAAAATAGGTATTTATTTTCTTTCTGTGAATTTTACATTTGCCAGAAATGGCTTTTACTTTTTACTTTTTAGCTTATAATACTTTTTCTTCGACAACCCCTTTTCTAGTAGAAAAATATTTAGCAACCATGAAGGTGATCTTTACCATAGTTCCACTATGTCTTGAAAGTTGAGGTAGCAATATGGATGGGTATCGCGCAGGAAAGTGCGAAAGAATAAATTTTTGTCACGCAAGTGTGTGTTTCATGCTATACACTATACAGGTATCTTTTGGTCAAAAGAAGAAATTTTTGGGAAAAACAAAAAGGATATATGAATACTTGTTAAAATTTTAATACTATTTTATTAAAACAATTGTTTAGTAACTAAAGTTAACCAACAAGACAGTCTCAGCTCAAAATCATTTTTCATATGATTAAAATTTAATATATCCATTAGTGACATAAACAATGAAGAAGTATACTACTGTACAACAGAAAAATTACCATTTTCTCACTTTTTATGACTTATTATTTGGAAGTTCTAAAAACTAGTTTGAAATAATTTGCAAAATAATGGCACATTTAACACTATTTCAGTGGAATTTAATTTAAGTACAATTAAAAATATCATACAAATAACCATTGGTTCTTTCATCACATTTACTTTTATAGGAAACACAACATAATATGCAATGATAACATGAAATAAAATAATATAATACAAATTTAGGCCTAAGAGGTGGCCGGGCCTCCCAATTATATTGTTGAAAAACCCAAGGCTCAAATAATTGAGTGAGTTTAAAAAAAGTTAAGCCATATTTTTAAACTACTTTTATTATATTTGTTATTATTACATAATTATTTTTAATGCCTTGTTCTAAGTTAACAAGACAATTAATACAGCTTGTAATTTACCGCACCAGATACAATTCGATTTCCTAACAGCATGGTCAGAATAACAATTGTTTGTAGTTATACTGTGTTCAAGTTAAGAAACATAATAGGTGGCTGACTGGTGCACAGGGGAGTGGCAATACTTCCGGCAGGCATACCGATAATTTATCGAGTGACTAACGGGTGCTGCCTGACTGGGGCCTGACAAAAACTGGTGGTTGCCCACAACGTTTCTTAACTTGAACTGAATATACTCAATGTGTTTACATAGGAAACATTACATCTATATTATAATGTCAAATAAAGCCGCGTTCTTATTTTGGTATTTCCTATCATTGCTTGATGTAGGTACTATAATATTTGTGGTAGGTACAAGGTACCTATTTATAATCATTATATATAAAAACAAACCTCGATTTTCTATTTTACCATTAATGAAAAATAATGAAGTTAATAATAATTTTATCACAACTCAAAAGTGTGTGTGTCTTATAATATTATTTTCACTTGTTATTGTTTAAGTTTAATTAGTTAATAAACATGTAATATTGACAAATGACAAAATTATGTCCAGATATTATTATTATCTTCAACAACTAGTCTGAACAACTAGACTAAAAATTGTATTACTTATAAAGATACATATTATACCCAATTATGTAATTCTAGCTAACGTGCCAGTAATAATCCCCCTCTAACATCAACAAATATAGAACCACAAACACAGAAAATATGGTTAAATTATATTATAAGCAGCCTAAACCTTAATGTATGGTCAATATTAACATTACCTGATTTGTAATTATCGACAGATGTTTGTTCTTGGTTTAGATATGTAACAGCTTTTACATCTGATATGTTTTTACTGTAATGTTTTTCTGATGAATCATGTCTACTGTTACTACCATTTCTCTTTCTATCTGATCTATTTTTAGATTTGTTTGTTTTTGAATTTCGTTTTGGATTTGGCTCAATGGCATCATTAACAGTTTTTTTATATAGTTGATAAGTAAGTGCTTTATGTTGTTCAGTATCACCACAAATCCAAATTTCAGCGTTTTGATTACTAAAAACTGTTTTTAGCATAGACAAACTACGTGTTAAAGTGAGTTGGTTAGGCTTATGAGTAAATGGCTCTTGTTGAACTCCCAAATATCTATAACCAGTTAAATGTGATTTTATTTCATGAAAAGTTTTTTCGAGACATCTAAAGTATGCTGAATATTGATCAAAAGGTTTAACGAATACACAAAACAATACTTCAGTGTCAATTTTGTACATCAGAAAATCACCATGAGCCATTGGTTTAATATTAATATCATTTAATAATCTGAAATCACAAATGTTCAAATAAAAATTATTAGCATGAGGGATTATTAAGTTTTGAGGTTAATTTAATTTTTTTATAAAACTAACTTTATTGAGCATACATTACATTTATAAAATTATATGTTTTTAAAGGTTAGACTTTAATACATTTTTCTGAAGAATACAAATATTTAACATTCATTAACAAAATATAAATTACCTCTCTTTAAATGGGTATTTAGCATTGATATGTTCAACAACTTCGTCATACCAATTCTCTGAATACACTGTTTTTATATTTATAAATATTATTATATCAGTTTGTTTCTCCATCTCCCACAATTGTTTAAAAGTATAATTTACTTTTGGAGGAATAAAATGTTCTATTTCTAATTTCTATTGATTTAAATATAATTTAAATTAATAAAACAAACAAAATAATAATATAATAATAGTAATAACTTACTGATGAAGTCAGGCATATAGTGACCTCAATATTGGATAATGTAAATATTTTTGAAATCAGTTCCTTCACATCCATCATATGGAATGAGTCTAATCCATGTTTTGGGATTGCCAATTTTGTTAATTTAAGGTCATTCATTTTATTACGTAAATTATACAACGCTATTTCTAAGGTAGATAATAATGGTCTTTGATTCATTTTTCTTTTTAGGACTATATAAAATACATGTTGCTCATTATGTATAATATGACCAATGTCGCTCACACGTAACTGTTGATCCAATAATGCACCAATTTTACCAAATTTGTATCTAAAAAGTTAATTCATTAACCAAAAATAAAATTTAAAAATGTAAGTATGTTTATCATACTTAAATTCAGCCGTCATGCCCATAGAAGTATGAAAATCTTCACAAACACAATGTGCTAAAGAAAATTTAGAAGGCAAATCAAAGATGTCATCCTTTACTTCAAATATATTTAAACTAAACAAAAAATACATTTCGAAAATTGCTTAATAATTTTTAAAAAATCCAGTTAATAGTCAACAATGCAATTGCAAAAAAATATTTTCAAGATTAGAATAAGATCAAATTAGAATAAATATAGGTATTTATAATAATTACATAAAGCTCAAAAGGAAATGTAGTTCTGCAATCTATTGTTTTGATTATTAATTGTTAGGCTACTTACAACTTCTTTTCTGTCTTTGTTATAGGTTTTTTGTATTCATGACTATTGTTATTTTCCCGGTGTTCAGTACTATTTTTGGTGGTCCTAAAAATGGGTTTGTTAAGAAGTCTTTTATATTATATTAATTAAAATACAAAAAAGTAAAAAAACATTTTTTAAGGATTTAAGAGACAATAAATGTACACAAAATAAAATAATACTATTGGGAAAAAAAAATTTGTTTTGAGATTCTTCTAAATATTAATTATGATGATAATTACATATTTTCAGTCTTTATAATCTGTTTTCTTTTTTTACAACCATCATTATTATCTATATGTTCAACTTTATTTTTTGTTATCCTAAAAATTGTTTTATTATGAATGACATAAAGAAAATCTACATTATCAACTAAATATAGATAAAACTATCTGAGGCAATAGGGTTAAGAAGTTGTCAGCACAAATTGTTTTCTCTCTCTGACCCAAAAGCAACATAGTAACAAATTTGAGTTCAGTAGAAACAGCTCTAGTATAAGACTGAATTAAATCAAAATTAAAGTGAGGTATTATATTATCTGTATTCTTATGATAGTTTTTTATAACAATATTTAAATTTTTATACAAGTGATGTATAATGTGTAAAATTTCACAATTTAAAAATGATCATATTTTAAAATTTAAATATTGTAAAAAAAAATCAATGTAAGAATATAGATATTATTCTAAAATTTAAGTTTCATAATTGGCCAATTATTCTAATTCTAAAATAAACATAAGGTTGGTCAAATTTGATTGTTGCAACATAGCAACATGCTCCAGCCCGGAGAGATAAAACATTGTGCTGAAATCCTCTTAAAATATTTTAATGACGATTTTTATAGTCGAAAATTGTTTTTTTTAAAAATATATTTTTCTAATGAGATGCACTTAGATTAACTATAGTTATTAAAAAATATTTAAATGACATTGGATAGTGAACACTCTAAAAATGATACTAGTTGTAACTAGCCTTTTTGTTAAATAAGTGTACATTTTAGTTAATACAATTATGAATATTAATAGATTTGGAAATTATATTTATTTTAAAAGCTCTACTATAAAAATAATAAAGTTAAATTAAAACAATGGTATTTAAAAAAAAAAAAAGTAAAATAATATATGTTATACTAATATTGTAAGTCAAATAATAAAATAAAGTTTTGGATAAAAGTAGATTTAAAAAAAAATACTGAATTTTTCTAGTCAATGATCACCACCTAGTACCTAGTATGTATATGGTATAAACATTTTTTTTTTTAAACTAAATTAAATAATTATTTTTAAAATTACAAAATGTACCTAAATGTAATGAAGAATTTTAATTAATTTAAGCTAAATATAAAAACTAATTAAGCTTTTAATAGTTAGATCCTAATTTACTAAATGATTACTATGACAGTACTTACATATATTCAGTCTTTGAAATCGATTTTCCATCATAATTATCCTGGCATTCACCATTATTTGATGTGATCCTTAAAAATAATTGTTTATTAAGAATATTGTACTTAAAAGAACTTGATGAATTAATAATAGATTTATAGATTTTAGACTTTCTGGGTGTCTAGTTTATATAGGCTGTTCGTATGTACACAACATAAAAAAAATTGGGTAAGTAGGTGGGTGTAGCTCTGCTGTATAGAAAGTTATAAGTGGATCATTGTAATGGATGGTGTTAAATTTAAAATAAATGATGCAATATCATTGTATATGAAAAATGATTTTGAGCGGAAAAGGTTTGTCAGCCAAGGATATTTTATATTATATTTATATATTATTATCAACACGGTAGACGAGAAGCTGAATGAATATTATTTGTATATAATAGTATATTTTAGAAATTTCAGGCACCCTCAGTAATATTTTAAATTTATAACGCAACACTAAAATCGTTATTCTACATTAAATATTTAATTTCATCCAAATTTGAACTTCAAAATACTTACGTGGGACCTTATTTTAAATTTTTAATCCTTAGCTATAAAAATTGAACTTTTTATACATTTTTAAATGTAAAATAATTTGTAAATTTTCAATATGATGAATTTAGTTGAAATTTAACTTCAAATGCTTATAAAAAAAAAATCTTGGCTATTTATTTTCAAACTGATATAGTAACAATGTGTGAGTAACCTTGTATTCAATTTTCAAGCATTTTAACCAAACAAATACAATTTTATTGATATTTATAGGAAAAAGAACTAGAATAAACCAAAAACATTTATGATGTCTGTAAACAACTTGAAATGAGTCAAAATATTTAAAACATTTAATCAAGTCAAAAAATCATATAATAAACTTATGTTTCATCAAGTTTTTACGGTTATTTGTTTTTGAATTATCACAAAATAAGAAAATTGTTTTGTTAGAAATCAAGTGAATAACCAATGTTGTATAAAATTGAACTTCAAACTCTCATATAGGTTTTTTTATAAAATAAAAACTATTATTATATATAAATAGATATATAAATTTAACAAAAATATAATTTGACTTTCCGGTAGACATTACTTTTCTTATAGAGCTTGAGGAATGTAGTAATACATTTTTAAACCTTAGATATAAAAAGAAAATTTGTTATGAATTTACAACTCAAAATAATTTGAAAATTTGAATGGTTTTTACAAATATTGTCAAAATTTTAACTTCAGACGTTCATAAAGTTATAGTGAATTTACGCTAAAATTTTTTTTTAATTTCCAATAACAATAACTTACGAGGAACCTTGTATTGAAAATTTTACATGCCAATAAATAGCTCAATATGAGTCAAAATATTTTGAAAATCTTATAGTCTAAAGAAAATAATAATTTAATATTCAGTGATAATTTCATGTATTTACAGTAATTTTTTTTAAAAGTTACACTAAAAACTATAATTTATTTATTCCTTTAATTTTTTTTTAGTTTTTCAGGCACTTTTGAAAAGTACTGGGATTTTTAAACTTTGATCCCCCCAATGCACCAACTAGATTCACTTTCCACCAAAAAAGATACTACAATTGAAAATCAAAGTATTTTCTTCGACTACTTATCGTTTATAGGACAAAAAAAAAGAATAAATAATTAAAAAAACACATCATTGTAAAATCAATACATTCATTGCTTCTTTCAGAATCTAAAATAGCTAATTTTCATAATTCTTTTTTAATGTTACAAAATGTATAATAATTATGTAATTAACAATTTCAATTATTTAAAGCTTAATGAAAAACCAACATAGCTTTGATAGTTAGATCCTATTGCTCTAAATATTTACTATGACGGTACTTACATATTTTCAGTCATTGAAATTGATTTTCTGTTCTCAATACCATCATCATTTTTCCAGCATTCACCATTATTTGATGTGATCCTTAAAAACATTTTTTGATTAAGATTTTACTTAAAAGAACTTGATAAATTAATTGTAGATGGGCTTATGAATGAATGGTCACAACATAAAAAATATCCATTTTTTTTTAAATTAAATAATTTTAAATACAATAAATGTAATTATATAATAAAGATTATCAATAATTTAAATCACAAAGATAAATTTAATTTACATATGAGATCCATATTGTTCTAAATATTTACTATGACGGTACTTACATATTTTCAGACTTTGTATTTGATTTACTATTATTATAATTATCAAAATCTTTCCAGTGGACATCATTATTTTTTGTGATCCTAAAAATTTTTTTTTATTGAAGATACTGGTTAAGTGATATTTAAAAGAACATTATTCATATATTATACATAATCTTCCCAAAGGCTTATATAGATTGTATTCAATATATAAACAGCTCTTTTTGGCTGAGCAATGAATGTGTATTGATTGATTTTACAATGATGGATTTTTTTTTTAATGCTTCATTTTTTACCTTTAACTTATCTGGTGGAAAAGTAAATCTAGTTAGCGCACTCAAATTATAAGGATAAAATTCCCAGTAGTTAACAAAAAAATAAAATAAAATAAGGATTAACGGGAATTCTATGCAAAACCTACCATTTTCTATACACCATAACATTTAAAAAATATTTTTACTCCTTTTGAGCATAGGCATAACAATAATTTTGTTTTTTATACTCTGGCCCACGAGAGTCCATATGTAAACCACGCTTCAATATAGTAATACGCGACGTCTGTTTTCTCCCACTATTCAGCAACATGGAGATGCGCAGAGACTCTCGTGGGCTGGAGTATACGTCAAAACTTTAAAAAAAAATACAAACAAAATACCTCATGAGTTTTTCTATTTTAAACAAAAAAAAAAGGTTAGCAGAAAGTCAAATAAACTTGTTAAGAGCGTTTGAAATTCAAATTTTTATGACATTGGATACTTATTTGTAAATTAATAGTTTCTCATCAAACGATAAACTGTTATAATAGCAGTTCAAAAATAAATATTTAAGATGTAGGCGTATTTTTTGTATAAATATAAAAAGTTTAAATTTTGATCAAATTCAAAAATATTATGAAAATCTACAACCTATTTTATAGTTAAAAATCTATAAAACTGTATACATGGTTGCTCATAAGTAGTTCATACTGTAACCAAAAAGTCTAAAAACACAGTACTTTTTAGTTTTTAATAGTTTGAGTTAAAATTCAGACAAAACGAGATATTTAAACAATGAATAATGAGTTTAGGTATTCTTTGTAATTTAAAAATATTATTATAATATAGGGTGACTTCTTTGTTCAGACAGATTTTACACATCCACTACAGTGACTCACACAACACCTACAATACAGCAGAGCTATACCCACTTGCCCGCCTTTTTTATTAATTAAATTATAATATAAATGTATTATGTAGGTATGTAAGAAACAAATTATACAAATCTAAAGAAATAAAAATACTGTTTTAAGATTTTGTTAATTTAAATATAAGCTATGGCAATACTTACATATTTTCAGTCGTTATAATTGGTTCTTTATTTTCATAACCATTGTAATTTTTCAAGAGTTCACCATTCATTTCTTTGATTCTAAATAATTGTTTCATTATGAATGAGGTTAAGAATTAGAAATTAGAATATTATTAACTTCTTATGGATGAACTTAGTAATTATATGACTAATGACTAATTATATGAACTTAATAATTAATTGACACAACCATTTCATGAAAAATCAATAGTCATTTATTTTACGCTTTTTGAAATAAAAAAAAAAAAATCATTTATATATATTTTTTATGAAATGTGTAACTTTTTCAGTATCTGACCATCTAATTTCTAAAATAAATTAAAATTGTTATTTCACATGAAAACCGATTACGATAAACTAATCTAAATTATGAACGGGTTTCTCTAAATTACACATATAATATTAGAATATACTAGTTTAAATTGTTTAGGTATGACATTTTATTAAGATGGAATTTAACATACAATACAAATTTTATAAAAAAAAAACCCCCGAAAAACCATATACTCTAAGTTGAAATTGTAGAAATTATCCTACAGATTAATTGTAAAATAAAATAAGTATTTTGTTAAATACTTTTACAGATAAAATATTTTATTTGGCCGATGAACAATATTAATTGTATATTTCAGGGTAGAAAGAGAAGACTCAATTAATATTAACTACTAAAATATAACTCCATCAGAGATAAAACATTTTAATTTTAAACAAAACAAATTAAGAAAAATATATCAAGTAGTTGATTTTTATAATTGTGAAATAAGTTTCTTTGCAATATTTTTCTAATCATTATTACTTTTACTAATCAAGTTTCCTTTGGACGCCAGGGGCTACAATACTAAATTTTGTATGTAGTAACTTATGAATTACAATCAATTTTCCTTATAATCTGTGCGCCTAAAATATTATTGATAATGAAACTCAATGAGAGGGAATTTGTTAGCTCAATTGAGATGCTAAAAAACAATGGATTAAGATACTAACATGGCTAACAGAACTATATAGTGACATATTAAATACATAAAAAATAGCAGACATTCAATCCAAAAAAGGCTGGAATGGAAGGAGGATATTACCGACCCATAACACTTCTTAATAATACGTACAAGTTATTGGAGAGATGAATATTAAACCGAATACAACCAACCGTGGATAAATACATATCAATAGAGCAAGTTGGGTTCAGAAACAACTATGGATGTGCAGGTCTTAGTGCTTACCACAATGATCTAGGCTAAATTCCTGAAGAAGCAGAAGACATGTAGTATTTATAGATTTATCTGCTGCATATTATGATACTATCTGGAGAGAAGGACTCTAGGTTAATGGAACTTTCAAATATTGCACCACTAGAAATCACTAGAATTCAATACCATCAACCGACAAACTCAAATATATTAAAAAAAAAAAACAATTTACAAATTTATCACTCCTTTCTATTTTAACCAAAGCCAAGGCATTGCAATCATCCGCACCAGCATCGGACACTCCTTCCTCATCCACTCATATTTAATTAGCAAAGAACTACAACCAATATGCGACTCATGTAACACTGCATTGACCATCAAACACATAGTGGTGGAGTGCACACAATACTCTTTAACACTTTATAATAAAATAAAAGTTCAACTATCAAAGAACTTTGATCTGGCTGCATAATTGTTCACGGAAGACTAAGACAAAAAAATTAGTTTGACTTCTCAAATTGTTACATTTGATTTGATTAAGAAACTTTCAACTGGCAACAAAGTACTATAATTGAAGAAATGTATACGCAACTTAATATAAATATGGGACAATTATGTTCAACTAGTTCAATTTGTAATAAAGAAATAGTTGTTGAAATCGATTATAATATATTATTTGTGATTTATTTATAACAGTGAAGAAATTGAAAAAGAGCGTCAAGTACATAAAGGACGAATATAATTTATAGGTACCAACCAATTCAATTTTCAACACATCATTAAGAATATAAAATATAAATAATTTACTATAGGACAGCAATGTACACATTTCAAAGTGTATTAGATATAAATTACAAATTAATATTTAATGTTAAATTATTGTTTAATTTATTAATTATTATTTAATGTTTGTTGTTAAAGTTTAAGTTTATTATGTATTAAAATAAACAAATTAATTAAATAACACTTCAGTTGTATTTCAGAAAGTGAATGGCTGAATAATGAAAAATATTACACAATGTCAAAATGTTGTCTCCATTTCATAAAAGTTGCAAATAATAAAATGATAAAGCAAAGCATAAAAAATTGTGTCCAATTCATGAAGTGGCTAACTTTTCAGTTTTCCCGAAACAAAGATTTCACTAAGTGAATGTGATATAGAGGTAAGCAATTAATTAAAATAAATGTAATTTTTTGTTAACTAAATAATTTAATTTTAGGTTATAATTCAAAGTCTATATATAATAAAGAATCAGAATTATTTAAAGTTCAGAAGGAACATAAATTTAGTTTTGTTATCTAATTGTTCTGAATATTATTAAATATAATGGAACTTACATGTTTTCAGTCTTTGTAATTGGAATTCTTCTTTTATTACCATCATCATTTTCCCAGTGATCGACATTATTTTTTGTGATCCTTTAAAATAGTTTTATTAATTATAAGAAATAACAAAAATTAAAATATGATTCATTAAATATAGATGAGATTCTATGTACATTTATTTTTATGAATAATAATTAACATGTAACATATTGTTATAGGTATAATCAGTAGCGAATTCTCAGGATTCTTAACGAGGGAGGGGGGATATACAGTAAAACTTCGGTAAGATGGAAACCCAGGTAACACAAACAATTCCTTTAGTCCCGATTCAAATAAAACTTAATTAATGTGAACCCCGTATAGTCGGAAACTCCGTTAGGATGGAAAAATTGGACGGCCTCAAGTGATTGTGGCTTAGGGAAGTTTTACTGTACAAATTAATTGCAATAATTGCAAAATTCAACCTAACCTAACCAGTACTGAAAGTCAAACTATTCGAATTCCTTATTCTCTTTTATAGGTTTTATAGAAAATAGACTTTTGATTTTATGTATTGTTGAATTAGTAAAGTACCAAATTCATTATCTTTTTTCAGAATGCACATTTACTAGTTAATAAAAAAAATAAAATTAATTTTCTACAAACAGACAAGAAGTGAACTAATTCAAATATTTTTTCAAAATTAAAATTGAACTTCCGGAGTATGTTTTTTTTCTTTTTGCTTAATATTCTAAATTCACAAAACAACAATCTAGTTTCAACGGCCTTCCATTTGATAATAAAAATAATAAAATCATAATAATAATGTCAATAATTCATATCTGAAAATAATAAATATTGTATACAAGATGATTCTTTTATCATGAAATACTCATTATTTCAAAAATTATTAATGATTTTGAAAATATTTTTTTACAGTTTCAAGTTAAAAAAACGGTTTTTTTAAAAAATCGTATTTTTAAATATTTGTCATCCTTATATATTTTTTTAAGTTCTTTACTTTTTTGAATGACAACAGAATTTAAAAAAGCAAATATTTTTCCAAGTATTTCCATTCATAAAAATCAAATTTAGGGAGATTAGTTCATGAGTTATAAGTATAGCTTAGACAAGCGTGAACAAACATTTTGCGGGGACACCCCGTAACTAATCCCTGCCCATCTAAACTTTAAATACTTATAAGTCATAAACTACCCGCCCTAAATTCAATTTTTATGAATGGAAATACAGTCGATTCCGCTTAATAGAGACACCGGTTAATAAGGACAACCACTTAATAGGGACAATTCTTCAATTACAAAAACAAATGTATACTTGTAGGGTAAACATTCACCGCTTATCTGGGCCACGAATCCGGATAATTGGGACATTTTTATCGAGTATATTAATAGATCAATAGTTCAACAATCGTGACGGACTCTCGTAATCAATTATTACATTACATTTTATCTTATTTAACTTTATTTTATCTTATCTTTTATCGTATGTTCAAATGTGATATATGTTAAATGTTATTTGGTGCAATGGTGCATCAGTCGTGTTTGTCGCGTGTAGCAACGATGGCTTGAGTACATAAAGATTTATCGTTTGCTCAAAAATTAGAAATTCTGGACAAAATTAAATTACAGCTACCAGGCTGTAATACACGTCGTCTTTCGGAAATTTAAGGAGTACCGAAATCAGCAGTTTTTTTAAATAAGATAAAATACATAATAAAAAAGGTGGGCAAGTGGGTGTCGCTCTGCTGTACAGTAGGTTACAAGTGGGTCACTGTATAATGGATGATATTAAATTTGAATTCAACGATATAATATCATTGTATAAGAAAAACGATTCTGAGCGGAGACAGTATGTCAGTCTAGGTATAAGACATATTATATACATTATACATATCTATGGTACTAAACCAAAATTTGACCTATAATAGGTAGGTACTTATAATAAATTCCAAAATTAATCATATCAAAATATCCATTAGGTACTTATAACGCGTTATACATCAACAAAAACCGTGATACTATCATAGATATATAATAGTACACTTTAGAAGTTTCAAGTACCCACGAATAATATTATTCAATCACAACAAAATAACTAAAATAGTTTTTCTAGGTTTTTTAATATGTAATTTCGTCCAAATTTGAAATTAAAATGTCTGTAAAAAAAAACTGTGTTCATATATTTTTTAGATTTTTTGGTTACAGTATGAACTATTTACGAGAACCTTTGTGTTGAATTTGCAATCCTTAGCTAGAAAAACTGAACATTTTATAATTTATTAATTACAATGATTGATAATTTTCGAGATTTTGATAAATTTTGCCAAAATTTGATCTTTAAATGCTTATAAAAAAAAACTGTGCCTATGTATTTTTAATATTTTTCAACTGATATTGTAACAATATATCAGGAGCCTTGTATTAAATTTTTACACTTTTTGGCCCAACAGATAAAACTTTATTGATATTTATAGAAAAAAAAACTAAAAAAAATTGAAAGCTGTAAATGTCCATAAACAGCTCAAAAAGAGTCAAAATATTTTCAAAATTGTATGGTGTATAGGAAATGATAATATAAACATTCAGTGAAATTTTCATGTATCTACAGTTATTTGTTTTTGAATTACAACAAAATAAGGAAATCGCTACATGAGAAATCGAGTGAACATCCAATGTTGTAAAAATTTGAATTTCAAACGCTCATAAAAATTTAATTTGACATTCCGGTAGAGATTTTTTTATTGATAAAGGTAGACAAACTTATGAGTAATCTTATATTACATTTTCAAATCTTAGATTTAAAAAGAAAAATTTTTACGAATTCTTAACTCAAAATAATTTGCTAATTTTCGCGATTTTTCCATATTTTGTCAATTTTTGAACTTTAAATGCTTATAAAAAAAAATTGTGACTAAGGATTTTTAATATTTTTCATCTGCCTTTGAAACAACATATTAGGAGCCTTCTATTAAATTTTCAAGCTTTCGCAACCAACAAATAAAATTTAATTGATATTTCTAGAAAAAAAACTAAAAAAAAAATGAAAAATGAAAATGTCCCTAAACAGTTCAAAATAAATCAAAATATTTTGAAAATGTTATCGTGTATAGAAAATGCAAATATAAACAACCAGTGAAAATTTCATGTATCTACGGTCATTTGTTTTAAAGTTACACCAAAAACCAAATTCGATTTTTTGGAAATCTTTTGTAAAAATTCCCGTTTTTCCTTAATTTTTATGTTGTTTTTCCCGGCGCTTGTGAAAACTACTGGAAAATGTTTACTTTTGACCCCCCAAAATACCAACTAGATTCACTTTCCTATCAGAAAAGGTACTATTGAAGAAAATCGAAGCACTTTTACTGTCCCAAAACGTGATGACAGACACAAAAAAAAATATAAAAATATAAAAATATAAAAATATAAAAACACACATCATTGTAAAACCAATACATTCATCGCTCCGCTCAGAATCTAAAAATAAAAAATATTTATATGTACTTTATATGTATGTATTTTTATAAATAATTAGGTTATATCATGTTTTTCTTTTTGTACTATCAAATAATTTCTATAATACATTGTTTGTAATTTGTAATAATAAAAATATATAAAACAAATCAGTTTTTAAACAAATTTATATGTTCGTTTTTGTATTTCGGATTATTGGGACAACCGCTTTATTGGGACAAAATAACACCCAACCGATGTGTCCCAATAAAGCGGAATCGACTGTACTTGGAAAAATTTTCTGTTTTAGAATATGAAATTAAAACTCTGTTGTCATTCAAAAAGGTAAAAAACTTAAAAAATTATAAGGATAAAAAATATATGTTTGTAATAAAATCATTGTTTTTTTTAACAACTTGAAACAAGGTAAAAAAATATTTTCAAAAACATTAATACTTTTTGAAATAATAATTCTTTCATGATAAAAGAATCACCCAGTATAGTACTACATCAGGGAACGTCAAGGAACTATTAGTTTTCTCTATCTCGGATCCACGAGCAACATTGCAAATTTACGTTTAGCAGAACCAACCCTGTGTTATTATGTTTAATATTAAGTGAATCACCAAATATAAAACTCTAAGGTAAGAACATTAACATTATCAATACATGTGTCCCAACGATGGCTATTTTAGGATATTTTTATTTTTATGTAAGTTATGAATGTGTAAATTATTAATATTCACAAATGCTTATAAATTGTATAAAAATTTAATTAATGTAAAGAAGCAAATGTGGGGACACAGGTTCTTAGTTAGTATATAGGCTCTAAGTTTTATAATTTTAATAATAGGTAAATTCACTCTAATATTAAAAGTTATAACACAGGGCTGGTTCTGCTAAACATAAATTTGCTTTGAGCCAAAAAAAACATATAATGCAGTGAAATCCTCTCAAGTACTTCAAATTATACAAAAACATTTGCTTTTGAGTTGAAATAGCTATAAAGTAACTAAATTTCTACAAAAGTTTAAAATATAATATTAAACATAATATTTGATTATTAATAAAAAAAAAATACCTACAATTTTTGATTTCCATTGATTTTGTATTGATTCTCCATTGGTTCTACATTTTTGTAGATATCAGGGTTTATGCTATCAGTCTTGTACATTGATGCACTACCAATAGAAGTGTCTTTACTGTTGCTATTGTTAGCTACTTCAAAACAATCAGTTTTCTCAGGTTCATTATTTAATGACAGTTTGTTTTCACTTTTAAAACTATCAGATTTGTTTGTAAAAATGTTATCTTTGTCTTGGTAAAGATTTCCATTAGGTGTTTCTTTATTTGACATTCTGTACAACAAAATTAATATAAATTAAAATTGATACTCAATAAATTATGAATAGCTAATTAGTTAGTTAAAATGGTATCGAGCATACATAAAAGAAGCAAACAACACAAAAATGTTTTCTTCAAATATTATTCATGTTAGAACTATTAAAAATGATTTGGTCGAAATTCAATGTAAAAAAGTAAGTAGATATTAGGGTATTTAGAACGGCCCAGTGAACATCATTGACTTGGATATAACTGCCTAACTTATATGTGCAAAAGTTGCTTAATTTACACAATGAATTACCTATACTCTGTTCCACAAGAGAATAATCAGTTTTTGAGCACCACGACTGACGGCTTCAGCACACCAAACCCCAATTCCTTTTCCAAGTATCCTAAGCAATAAATGTCACCGGAAACTGGACATTTCCAACTCGTGACAACCCGATTCTTTTTTTTTCCAAGTTCTCGTGAGAACATTGGTTAGCGAACTGATTAAAGTTTTGCGGAACAGAGTATACCTAAACATTTTATTTGTTTGATTTACGTAAAATTGAGTGACTTTTTGTGCTTGAAACAAAGAGGTATCAGAATTGCAATATAAATTATAGTTTTTTTAAAACATTAAAAATACTGGATATGCCATTTTATGTTACAATAAGTGATTGGAGCAGGTACAATAAAATGTATGCATAAAAAATAATTAACAATGTATACAAATTCTGGTTCCACAGTTCGCATAAAAACACATTACAACATGATCATCGCACGTACAACAAAAATTCAAAAATATACTTGTGTAAGTAAATTATTGTTTAAAGCAAGTAACTTTTACACGTAAATTATGGCGTTACCAGCCCAATGACGTCCAAGTCTTTTTTAAACTCCTCATAATTATTAAATAATTCGAGAGGAAATATAAAACCTATACCATTTTTCTTACAATTGAACATTCTTTCAAAGTAAAAAACTAATTTTTTTTTTCGTTTTGTGTTCCTTTAACATAAGTAATGCAATAACATTATTAATATGCTCTTTTACTTGTCTTTGTCGAAATTGGTTACAAACTTGAATCGTCCATCCATTAATTTGTTTTCATTTATTGTTTTAGCTATTAGTAACATTGCAGTATTTTTGGTAGGATGTCTTTTTTTAACTCTTGCAGATCCAATGTCCTCGCAAATAATAGTTCTAAAAAATAACAAATAAATTTAAAAGAGGACTTAATTGAATATTTTAATTTAAACAATTACATAACAGAAACGTAAAATGACTAAATATATACCCATCAAACATATATAATCTACATGATATCTATGATATGTTTATACGTCTATACATAAGTCAATAACATCCAAGATCTCTCTTTTTTTTTAGGGGGGGGGGGGGTTCTATGATCTCTTGTATATTAATTATAGACACGTATAGAATATCTATATTTATATTCAATTTTTGCATTTTTATTAGTCCTGGAGTTGATAAATATTTATAGATACTAAATTTTAATTATTATAAAATAATATTTCTTTCAATGTATTTTTTATTAATATTATTTTTGTTATTTGTTATAAACACAGAAGGTACTATTATAAGTTTTTTTTATTGTTTATTAGTTTGTTACGTCTTTAGAGTACAATATAATATTATACAGTGTGTAACAGGAATACCTGACAGATGAAATAACAATTGTTCTAATTAATATTAGTATTATTTATAGTTAATAGTCACTTGCGCTACACTTATATAATAAAATATTTTTATTTTTTAGTACTGAAAATAAAAAATTTAATTAAAATTTTTTTGGAATTCAAAATAGCCAATTTGTGAATCCGATTATAAGAACAATTTTGATGGTAAACACAATTACCTAAATTACCTAATTTAAGTAGCTTATTTTTTAGAATTTTTTTAAACATCAATACTATTTTGATTAATTAATTTGGAACGTAATAACTATTTTCAAAATATAATTGTTGGGAATTTGATGACATGAGTTATTTCTTAAATTAGTTACTTATCATATAATTTTAACAATTTTTGTCATACGTTTAAGTAGAATCATTTTTTGTGTGTGTGTGTGTGTGTGTGTGTGTGTCAGTTCTTCCTGTTACATTCTGTGTATACATGCCAAAAAATTATACATTCACTATTTTATTTTGTTTGAAATTGTTTTTAAAGCAACCCAATAATATTGATTTTTTTTTATTTAATTAGTATGTATTTATTTATTTTACTATATAATAATTAATTTCAATTGATATAGTATACATTTAGACATTGTTTGATATTGTAATGACCACAATTTATATTTAATACCATTAAGATAATTCATATAAGATTTACAATAGTGACATCGGTATCTAGCTCATAATAAATTATAAAAAAAAAATAGTAGCGATACAAATGATAACACTCATAATTTGAGCTGAAACCATTTGTGGTTAATCGCCTGATACATAATAAATAGACTTAAGATGTTTATGTACTTGAAATTACTTGCATATGTATGGACTAAAAAAAATATGCACTAAAAATAACCAGAAACATTAAATAAGCACTTATATTTATAAAAAGTCACAGGGTTGTTACATTATAGAGGACATTATACATGCATGTTTTGTTGTGCTGTCTTCACACAAATACATAAATAATTTTACATTCAGAACAATACATTTTTAATTAAATTTAGATATTTTTAATTTTAGAGTAAATTAATCAATCATAGAATTTAAAGGTAAGACAGAGGCATCAGGTAAGGTTTTTTGGTATCTTTGTTTTGAAGTGATTTATAAGCATTTTAAAATAGTATATTTTTAGTAAAGTTTTAAATCATTACTAATTACTTCACAATTAAAATATCCATAAAAATGCAAAGTGTAGGTGTAGCCATGGATAATATTCTTACCTCTAAATGAATCAACTAACTCTTATGTTAAAAATAACATTATACAATGGATTATTCTGAGTGCAACATTTGCTATTTGAATGTGTGTTCAGACACAAAGCATAAGTGTAACATGTCCTGTTATTGCTGTATTATATGATTATTTTATACTTAAATTAATACTCACTCTTCTTTAACTTTGGCTTGGCTGTCTTCAGAATTAGTACTGTAAAAATAATGAAAATAATGATTTTAACATTTAATTAATATAAACTTTGACAATATAAAATCATTTATAAGAATACCTTAATATTTAAACATAAATTAAATACTCACTTTTCACTTGATTCTTCAGGAATTTGAGACGTAGGCCTATAAAAGAAGAAACAATAAAATCACCGTTCTTATAATATTTTAACAAGACCTAATATATTTTAGTAGGTACTTACTTTTGTTCAACTCCATCGTAATATTGAGAATCAGACCTAAACATATTAAATTATATTATTCATTATTGGTATGGAATCTATAAATAAATTATTTTAAGAAAAAATTATACATCATAATCATCAACTTATTTAAATTATTCTTAAAATATAAGTTTGGTTGAAACTTACTCTTCATTTAATTTGCAATTTACAATATTAGCAATAATTCCATTTACTATTTTTTGTTCTGCAATTATATTATGGTGAAAAACGGATTGACCATTACTTCTGTATAGAAAAAACATTGAATTATAAAAATATATGAATGAATGGGAGGAATATTTTATTTTATTTAAGCGCAGATTTTTTTTTTTTTTTGCATTTCTGGACAGGTTTTAAACTAAAAATCAGTCATTATTTTATGCGTTTTATGTAGTATAAGCCATGACAAAATGAACAGGCATGTTAGCAAGATAACATGGTGTATGAAATGTTATCGGACTAAGAACATAAACACTAAAAATTGAAAGCTATAATCTACATTGTCTAGTTGATTTTGATTTTTCCATGTCTATGGGACAGGCGTAATATAAGTGAAAATGGAACTTTAGCTAATGTGTCTGTTCATTAGTCATGACTCACGATATAAGCAGCTGGTTAGAGATATTTTTTACTAGTATAAATATATGTATAAAAAACCATGTTATAAAGTTCTTAGGTTTTTTGGTGAGTAGTTAACTTACTCTTGGTTTAACAATTTATTTTTAGTATCAGACTACTTTTATAGAATATTCTTTATTTTGATTTTCATGACTAAAATAAAAATGACAATAATGCTTTTAGGGAAATATAAACATTTAAAGTCAATTTTAATAACTCAAAATGCTTGATGGTTCAATTTTGTTTTGTAGTTCTTAAAATTGCAGCTACCTATTGGATTTGAATATTTGTTTAGGAAGTTAAAATATAGTTACTTACTCTATATTGATTTTGTCTATTAATTCTGTCACCATATTATCATTCTTTATATCATCAACAACTTTATATAATATTATCTGTTTTGGTTTTTCATTTTTATTGATGTGATTAGAAATAAAATAACCATCACACCTCGCAGTAAAGAAAATATTGAATTATTTTTAAGCTCAGCTTTAATAAGTTAAAATAGTTGATAAGTAATTTTTTATTTTTTATTTTTTATCTTTAATATTGAGTTATCTAGAGACTAGAGTTGTTATATGTACCTATATCTATGCATATCAGTTTATTGCTAAACCCATTTATTTAATTAAGGTTAACTTCATCCCAATAGGTAATTTTATTTTTGTAGGAAATTAGTACCTATAATATAACTATGTACTTACTCTTCAGTCACATTATCTATTAATCCATTCCCATTATCACCAATATCTTTATTTTCTCCTTTTTGTTCTTCATTTTTATCCATGTGATTGGAATGCAAATTGCACCTTGGGAGAAAAATAAACATCGAATTATTTTAGACAGTAAACTACGGCGACTGAAAATTCTAAAAGATGTAATATTAAATAATTTTTTATATAGATTTAAATCAATAATTTGTTATTGGCAATAACTTGGCTAAGAAATTAAAATGGAATTAGTTGTTACTTGTTACTTACTCTTTGTCTATTAATTCATTAACCGTATCATTGATAACTTTAAATACTTCCTTTAGTTCTTCATTTTTATTGGTTTCATTAGAAAAAGAATTAGCGTCGCACCTATAAGGAAATAAAAATATGAAGAGAAATATATGTTAGTTTACTTAAATAATGAAACAATTTGTTTAAATCTTATAAGTAGGTACATAATATTGAATAATATAGGTTGATAACTAAATAAAGCTACCTAATACTAATTAGGTAAAATATAATAAAAAGTAAGTATACTTTAACCTTCGAGCGGGCGCGCAACGGTATTAACACCGCACAATTTAGAGCCTCATTTGAATTTATGTTTATGTAAATCTTATAGTTTGTTTAAATTATTTTCAAATGTGCGGTGTAAAAACCGTCCGCGCGCCCGCTCGAAGGTTAAAGAAAGATAAAAATAAATAGGTAAATATAATTACTAAGAATTTTGAATTTAAACTTTTCTCAAAAATGTAGAAATCAAATTTACTAGTACCTTTTTTCAATAGTTTTCTCATGTAAATCTTCTGCCTTTTCAGTTGTTTTAAGATAATCAGAAAAAATGTTAAAAAATGAACTAATCTGGAACGTCACAACTGCCGCAACATAGCAGAAAATTCTTAGCATGTACTTCATACAATTAAAAATACTATAGATGGATTTCCAACGTTTAACTCCACCCGATAATGTCCTAAATTTATAAAATAAACAATAAGTAAATTAAAAAAGGAAGATTTTTTAAACACATTTAAAGCCCATGTCATATATTGGAAATTACATAGAATCTTTATGAAAAAAAAAAATGCATAATAAAGCATATTTTAATCATATTTTAAATTTTTAATAGGTAGAATACTCATATTATGGAGGATATTTTTGGTCGTTTTTACAGAATACTTAAAACATATTTTATTAAGTTATATTCCAATTATTTTTTAATCTCAAAATATAGACCCTAGTTAGTTTCATTGTAAAAAACAAATTTACACATGGGAAACCGGGGGAATATTTATGTAGTTTGTAAATGGAGCAGCAGTCTCTCCCCCCCCCAATATTTTTGGTTGAATACTACTTGTGTACCCAGTACCTTCCGAATACATATTATTAAGCATATTTGTACAAGGCCCTCTGAAATAATAAAATCCGAAAAAAATCGTGATTCCAAATGCCTCGTGCCCGATCACCGCCACCCATCACCCACCGATGACGGGGTGTGTCGGTCAACGGTCGTTACGCGCATTCAAAATAACCACTCACTTGTGCGTCGTATCCGCCATCGCGTTCGTGGATTCTCGTCGCGGGTCTGTCGGTTCAACGTGGATCGAGATCACCGCGGTCGCTTCCGTTCTGGGGAAAACGTGATGAGCGCAGAACAGCAATCGGAATGACCAGGAACAAGCACGCGTGGACGACAAAAAACGTATAACTGCGGTCTACGACCACACCAGCACAGACGAGGTTAATACCATTACCAGTACCGGTCAAAGTGCACCAACGCGGTATAAAACGAAAAAAAGTAGCAAACGGTTCACAACGGTTGTGCGATCCAGCGGCTCTCGGTACTTAGGCGATTCGGCGAGTGGCGACAAACGAGTAATGACTAATGACTAATGACAGTGATTGCGTCGTGCGACCAGTGCAACCACGGCCATAGGCATAATAATAATATTTTGATCGTTGGTAAATATTATTATTATATTATTATCCAGCAAAGTCACGTCATATCGACGGCTACACGGCAAAACCTCGTACCTATATCGATATAGAGATATAATATTAATAATAATTTAGAGCTGAGTGCTGCCAATCCCCGATCTCGGATCTGGATGTTTGGATGGGTATTTTCGGTGACGATATTCTAAACGTGTCTATTATAGTATACAAGTGTATGCTAGTTGCAGAGTAAGTCACTGTAAATTGTAATATAGTAATATACTAATATAATATGTATTTTTATAATTTTATACATAGTATAAAATAAATTTATTTTACTATTAATAATACGGTAGGTTGAATTAATTTATGCCAAAAACATTCAAGTCCGAATTAAGACATTTTGAGGCCCAAAATAATCGTTATAAAATCGTTTTATATTAAATTATTGTATTACAAACAATATTAAAACACCCAGATAGTGTGTGGTCTCAGTTCAATCCAACAGAACTAATAACCTACTGAGAAGTTATTAACTATTGATTCGACACATTTCCGCCAGTTGAAACCTGCAAGTTGTTTATCTGTACCCTGTATGGCTGTCGAGATTTATTTTAAACTGTTTAGGGACATTTTTATTTTCCATTTTTTTTTAGTTTTTTTTCTAAAAATATCAATTAAATTTTATTTGTTGGTTGCGAAAGCTTGAAAATTTAATAGAAGGCTCCTAGTATATTGTTTCAAAGGCAGATGAAAAATATTAAAAATCCTTAGTCACAATTTTTTTTTATAAGCATTTAAAGTTCAAAAATTGACAAAATATGGAAAAATCACGAAAATTAGCAAATTATTTTGAGTTAAGAATTCGTAAAAATTTTTCTTTTTAAATCTAAGATTAGGAAATGTAATACAAGATTCCTTATAAGATTATCTACCTTTATCAAAAAAAAATGTCTATAAGAAAGTCAAATTAAATTTTTATGAGCGTTTGAAATTCAAATTTTTACAACATTGGATATTCACTCGATTTCTCATGTGGCGATTTCCTTATTTTGTTGTAATTCAAAAACAAATAACTATAGATACATGCAAATTTCACTGAATGTTTAAATTAGCATTTCCTATACACCATACAATTTTGAAAATATTTTGACTCTTTTTGAGCTATTTATGGACATTTTCAGTTTTCAATTTTTTCAGTTTTTTTTTTTCTATAAATATCAATTAAGTTTTATCTGTTGGGTCAAACAGTGTAAAAATTTAATACAATACTCCTGATGTATTGTTACAATATCAGTTCAAAAACATTGAAAATACGTAAGCACAATTTTTTTTTATAAGCATTTAAAGTTGACATTTTGACAAAATGTATCAAAATCTCAAAAATTATCAATTGAATCATTTTAATTAATAAATTATAAAATGTTCAGTTTTTATAGCTAAGGATTGCAAATTGAAAACAAAGGTTCTCATAAATAGGTCATACTGTAACCAAAAATTTTAAAAAATATATGAACACAGTTATTATTTTTTTTTTTTTTATTGATCTTTTTAAGGACGGCATCTATGGCCATTAGCTGTTAGTAGGTTGTATGGTAGGGTTTTTTGTTGGTGGGGGTTTACACGTGAGTGTTTGTGTTTTGGCAGAATTACGAATGGGGCACCCGTAGGTTTCTGCCAGGCCCCGGAGTGGGGGATGGCGGCACTTGTTCTCCGGACACCATGACTTGCCCGGAGAAAAATGCCGCCCAGTGGTCGAGGATCGAACCCGAACCGGCAGCGCCGCAGCCGACGCGTTGACCGCTCGGCCACCTCGTCCCCCAGTTATTTTTTACAGACATTTTAAATTCAAATTTGGACGAAATTACATATTAAAAAAACCTAGAATAACTATTGTAGTTATTTTGTTGTGATTGAATAATGTTATTCGTGAGTACTTGAAACTTCTAAAGTGTACTATTATATATCTATGATAGTATCACGGTTTTTGTTGATGTATAACGCGTTATAAGTACCTAATGGATATTGTGATATGATTAATTTGGAATTTATTATAGGTCAAATTTTGGTTTAGTACCATAGATATGTATATAATATTATTATACCTAGACTGACATACCATCTCCGCTCAGAGTAGTTTTTCTTATACAATGATATTATATCGTTGAATTCAAATTTAATATCATCCATTATACAGTGACCCACTTGTAACCTACTGTACAGCAGAGCGACACCCACTTGCCCACCTTTTTTTATTTTTGTGTCTGTGTAGACGATTAGTATTCGAAATAATGCTTCGATTTTCAACTTCAGTAACTTGTTCGATGGGAAAGTAAATCTAGTTGGTACTTTTAGGAGGTCAAAATTTAAAATGCCCAATAGTTTTCACAAGCGCCGGGAAAAACAACATAAAAATTAAGGAAAAACGGGAATTTTTACGCAAAATCGATTTTCCAAAAAATCGAATTTGGTTTTTGGTGTAACTTTAAAAAAAATGACCGTAGATACATGAAATTTTCACTGGTTGTTTATATTTGCATTTTCTAAACACGATAACATTTTCAAAATATTTTGATTTATTTTGAACTGTTTAGGGACATTTTCATTTTTCATTTTTTTTTAGTTTTTTTTCTAGAAATATCAATAAAATTTTATTTGTTGGTTGCGAAAGCTTGAACATTTAATAGAAGGCTCCTAATATGTTGTTTCAAAGGCAGATGAAAAAAATTAAAAATCCTTAGTCACAATTTTTTTTTATGAGCATTTAAAGTTCAAAAATTGACAAAATATGGAAAAATCACGAAAATTAGCAAATTATTTTGAGTTAAGAATTCGTAAAAATTTTTCTTTTTAAAACTAAGATTTGAAAATGAAACACAAGATTCCTTATAAGATTATCTACCTTTATCAATAAAAAAATCTCTACCGGACAGTCAAATTAAATTTTTATGAGCGATTGAAATTCAAATTTTTACAACATTGGATTTTCACTCGATTTCTCATGTAGCGATTTCCTTATTTTGTTGTAATTCAAAAACGAATAACTGTAGATACATGAAAATTTCACTGAATGTTTTATATTAGCATTTCCTATACACCATACAATTTTGAAAATATTTTGACTCTTTTTGAGCTGTTTATGGACATTTACAGCTATCAATTTTTTTTAGTTTTTTTTCTATAAATATCAATAAAGTTTTATCTGTTGGGCCAAAAAGTGTAAAAATTTAATACAATACTCCTGATGTATTGTTACAATATCAGTTCAAAAACATTGAAAATACATAGGCACGATTTTTTTTTATAAGCATTTAAAGTTGGAATTTTGACAAAATTAATCAAAATCTCAAAAATTATCAATCGTTGGAATTAAAAAATTATAAAATGTTCAGTTTTTATAACTAAGACTTGAAAATTTAAAACAAAGATTCTCTTAAATAATTCATACTGTAACCAAAAAATCTAAAAAATATATAAACACACTTATTTTTTACAGACATTTTAATTTCAAATTTAGACAAAATTTCATATTTAAACCAAGAATTACGATTTTAGTTATTTTGTTGTGATTGAATAATATTATTCGTGGGTACTTGAAACTTCTAAAGTGTACTATTATATATCTATGATAGTATCACGGTTTTTGTTGATGTATAACGCGTTATAAGTATCTAATGGATATTGTGATATGATTAGGTTGGAATTTATTATAGGTACCTACCTATTATAGGTCAATTTTTTGTTTAATACCATAGATATGTATATAATATGTCTTATACATAGACTGACATACCGTCACCGCTCAGAATCGTTTTTCTTATACAATGATATTATATCATTGAATTCAAATTTAATACCATCCATTATACAGTGACCCACTTGTAACCTACTGTACAGCAGAGCAACACCCACTTGCCCACCTTTTTATTTATTTTTTTTTTATAAAGATATCAATAAAATTTTATTTGTTGGCTGAAAAAGCTTGAAAATTTAATAGAAGGCTTCTAGTATACTGTTCCAAAGGCAGATGAAAAATATTAAACACACAGTTTTTTTTCTAAGCATTTAAAGTTCACAAATTGACAAAATATGGAAAAATCACGAAAATTAGCAAACTATTTTGAGTTAAAAATTAGTAAAATTTTTCTTTTTAAATCTAAGGTTTTAAAATGTAATACAAGATTCCTCATAAGTTTGTCTACCTTTATCAAAAAAAATTTCTATAAGAAAGTCGAATTAAATTTTTACTAGCGTTTTAAATTCAAATTTTTACAGCATTGGATATTCATTTGATTTCTCATGTAGCGATTTTCTTATTTTGTTGTAATTCAAAAACGAATAGGTAACTGTAGATACATGAAAATTTCACTGAATATTTATATTAGCATTTCCTATAGACCATACAATTTTGAAAATATTTTTACTCTTTTTGAGCGGTTTACGGACATTTTCAGTTTTCTTTTTTTTAGTTTTTTTTTTCTATAAATATCAATAAAGTTTTATCTGTTGGGCCGAAAAGTGTAAAAATTTAATACAAGGCTCCTGATATATTGTTACAATAGCAATTGAAAAATATTAAAAATACATTGGCACAATTTTTTTTTATAAGCATTTAAAAATCAAA